GGCAAAAGTGTCCTCTAGCCCCCCCCATGTACTACTTATGTACCTCATAAAAGCCTCTTCTTTGATCTGAATAAAAATAAGAACCGGTTCTGAAACGTGCGAACAAGTTTTGCCTTCTTCCTAAATACACAAAGCAAAGGTTTTGTTATAGAACCGGCAGTATCTGTTTCCATGTTACGGAGACTACCTTATAGTGCGAACTCCTCCAGACCCCCATCTCGTGTCATGGCGGGTACCATGGTTACGAGGAAAGGTCACTTCGAATACGGATGTGGGGTGAATATAGTTTTGTCTTAATATTAGCATAGGTTGTCGTGAGTAAACCAATCGACGCCTTCTTTCCTTCATTTCACACCCATTAGAAATGCGCTCTCACTTGTTACCATAGCAACAGGCAGCCCCAGACTTTCTGTCTGGGGGAGTTCTCCTCAAAGCCGCACTATACTTATAAGGCCTATTATGAGGCAAACAAACATTCAAAAATTAAACAGTTAAGAAGCTTCGAACCTTTCGCGTTGTGTATTGTAAATAAATCGTTGCTCCTATTAATATTCTAACTCACATACTGTATAGATAACAAAGATCGCATCGGTATTGTAATCAGTATTGCAAACAGAATGATGTATTTAATGTAAAGCCTTGAACATTAGTTCAATTTTTGTCTCGGCAGTAAATTGAATTTATTAAATGGCTTGACACTGAAATGCAGAAATTATTCGGTGAATTAACACTGAATCAAAAAACTCGAACTCAAAAATCTTGATGCGTCCTGGTTTATGGCAGCTCAACCAAAAACTACCCTTCTTTCTTTAGAGACTCTTCCATAATAACTAAACAAGATATCTAATAAAATATTGAATATCGATAACAATACAGAATTTGGAATAATTTTACCTTATCTAAAAATTCCCGTTGTTTCACTTTTCTTTCAGATTCGCCCGATGTCAACTGATCCAGTATGTCGTTGATAGTGTTTTTCATTTTTTTCCCGTTTTCTGTTTGTGCCACCTTGATCATCCTATAAATAATTACTTCATTATGACAAGAATATATAAAAGGTATTACAAACATAAATATGGCACTATCATAATAGTCATTAAGTCATTTTCTAGTTAAAATAATAAACTCTGCGCATTTGATTCATTACTAGTGTTTCTTATAAATGTTTCCAAAAGTCAAAAAAAAATACCGACAACTTAAAAAATCAATTTCAAAAAAAAGAAGGTAGATTGAAATGTTTGGGTTCTATATTATGCTCAAATTTTAAGAGCAGCTAGAAAGATCGTCAACAGCTGACACTGATTATAAAACATGGCTGTTCTCTGTGACGTATCATATAATTCCAATTGAAATATTTACACAGGCGCTTGTTAATTTTTCACCCAGAGGCTGTCATTGCTAAGGGTGTTATCTCGATGGCATTTCTCTAACAGTTTTTCCCGGTAAACAGTGATGCCAAATTTCTTAACTAAACTGAAACTTTGCTGGAATAAATTAACTTGTGATTTTAAGCAATGGATAAAATACAAAAATTTCGAATGAAAAAAATAAATTTTAGGAAACTGCAGTTTTTGAACATACCGAAAAGGGGAAATAATTTTACTTTTTGTGAAAGATAAAAAGAAAAAAAGTCTGCAAAAGATGTGAAGGGAAACACTTCGGTAGTGATGACAGTTTAGTATGAAAATAATGCACACCATGTTTACCATTTTTAGACAGAAAAAACGTAAAATTGTTTTTTGTTTTCCGATCTATCTGAAAAGCGATGTTAGTAGGGTTTTCTCTGTTTTATTATTTTTCTCCTTTTAATTTTACATAAGTTTATGCCGGCGAAATGTTGAAATTTTGATAGGCGACAAAGTTTTAAATTTTCCAAGTTGTTTTTAATCCCCTGATCTTAATGATTCAGAGTCAATTTCGGCCGAAGGATCCCCGTGTATTAAATGATGACTGCTGCACTTTAAATCTGCCGGGGTCACAATGTCCTCCAAGTTCCCATAACAGATCAATACCCCAGGGGGTAATGATCTAGGAGTTCTCTTGTATTCTGGATTAGGTTTGATGGCTTACGACTGCATTATTTCAAGCTAAATACGGCACTGATAACAGGGATGTAGCCCTGTTATTACAAGACGCCAGGATAGTTAATTGCGGAGGAAGTTTACCCATTTTTATCTCGCAGAAACTAATCGTAACGTAGTCTGGCTGACTGCTAAGTTGAAATTTTCCCCATTCCATCATCTACCGGGAGAAAAAATAGCTGTAGTGAAAAAACGTTGAAGGAAGGAAGGGCGATTTTCCACCCGTACTACTTGTACCTCGCCGCGCCTGAAATGCTGATGTAGAAGGAAAGAAGGACGATTTTCCCTCGCCGTTTTCAGAAGAGATGTTGGCTGGAGATTGTCCCATGAAACCAGTAATGTGTATCCCATCCGATGACCCTACAGTGTCCCATCCATCGAGTTCTGATGTTCATTAGTGCTTAAAAAGAAATTTCACTTTGGTTCAAATATGAATTAGTCTCTTACAAGAATTGTTTGCTAAAAAAGTGAAAACAAAAGTGAATGTGCGCGATGCGAAGAAAAAAAAAAGAAAAATTATATATTTTGTGTCTCTCTTCAACGAAAAATAGATGAAGGTCAAAAGAAGAGTGTGACAAATGAAAAGGACACGCAAAACTAGTGTTCCTGCGTTTTATACCAACACAGATTTGAGGTAAAAAGGCACACTTCGTGCATTCCATGTAACCTTACGCATTAAGGAAAATCATTTACTGCTTCCTAATATGGAAGTGAAAGAGGGAAGAATTCTAAAAATAACTCTTCCTTTGAAATATAAATCTAATTATATTTCAATGGTATGTTTTCAGCCTTGAATTCCCAAAATAGAATCTCTCTACGCTTATTCTTTAACAAAGACATTTTATGAAAACGAAAGAGTTTTAATTCTTTTATTAATACAAAAGTATTTAATTTCTGTATTACATATATATATATATATATAAATATATATATATATATATATATATATATATATATATATATATATATATATATATATATATATATATATATATATATATATATATATATATATATATATATATATATATATATATATATATATATATATATATATATATATATATATATATATATATATATATATATATATATATATATATATATATATATATATATATATATATATATATATATATATATATATATATATATATATATATATATATATATATATATATATATATATATATATATATATATATATATATATATATATATATATATATATATATATATATATATATATATATATATATATATATATATATATATATATATATATATATATATATATATATATATATATATATATATATATATATATATATATATATATATATATATATATATATATATATATATATATATATATATATATATATATATATATATATATATATATATATATATATATATATATATATATATATATATATATATATATATATATATATATATATATATATATATATATATATATATATATATATATATATATATATATATATATATATATATATATATATATATATATATATATATATATATATATATATATATATATATATATATATATATATATATATATATATATATATATATATATATATATATATATATATATATATATATATATATATATATATATATATATATATATATATATATATATATATATATATATATATATATATATATATATATATATATATATATATATATATATATATATATATATATATATATATATATATATATATATATATATATATATATATATATATATATATATATATATATATATATATATATATATATATATATATATATATATATATATATATATATATATATATATATANATATATATATATATACAAGTAATTGATTGCAGTATACGAGAAACTATCCGTACTCCATTACAGTTGTCATCGATTACTAAATCGATGTCCTGCTCTGATCTCTATATTTTAAAATCGAAACAGAACTGGTACATGCATAAATGCGAGGAAGGTTTCGGATATAAGATTAAGCATCATGTAATTTTTTTTCTAATAGATCAAAACCCAGTGTTCTACGGATGAATTATGAAAAGTTTTCGATGAAAATTGCATGTCTTCCTCAATTATTGGCTTATTTTTTACATGCCCAAAGTTCGTTATTGCTTGTAAAGTTTGTTTTGTAAGGTTATATAAACCTTAAATAAAGCAACTGCATTAAAAAAAAATTTTTTTAAACCCATGTAGCCTCATAAAGAGTAAATATTTTTAACTTACAGGTCAGTAAAGAATTGTTCATTCTCTTCTTCGGGTACTTGAACCTTTCTTAGCACTTCTAAGAATTTACGGATGTTTATCTGAGTGATTTTATCTGAATCTACAAAGTTTCAAATTTTATCAGTACGTTTTATTTAGGATGTTCTATAAAGAGGAATGAAAAGAGAGTATGAATTTTTTTAATAAGCTGAAAGAACAAAACAAACATAAGCTGAGCATTGGTACAACAAAAGTATGTTTTCATGTCTTTAATATGATTTTTAACGTATGTCATCATTTTCTTATTTCTGTAGATTTAAAGGAACATAGTTGTATACGACTTTTATTAGAGAGAATAAGAAGATTCGTATTAATATCTAAATTTTAATGTTTGTGTATTTACGCCTCGTGCAGTTATAATAAAACAACCTTAGTTTTTGCAGAGCTTGCTCAAAGGCCTGGTTTCTTAGGACAGGTCGGCGTTACAAAACGTCAGCTTGAATCGAGCGCTAACCCCTGATTGGTGAATTTGTGAGTTAGACATCATACGCCATCGAACGCTCAGCTTGAACGACGACGGAAGTCCGAATCAACTGCAGTTGGATTGCAACGCAACGTTAACGACAGAAGCAATGACGGACAGCATCCAACAGAGCATTGAAATCAGCCAAGATTCTTATTTTAACATTAAACATAGCTTCTTCATTTAACATAGCTATAATGTGTTTTTTCTTGGACAAAGTCGTTATTTGATCTCTGAAGCACTGGTCGACAGTAACAAAATCAATACAAATTCAAAATAAATATTTGTCTACGTTATTAACGCATGCGCAATGCGAGATAATGTCTGCGTTGGACCGACTGCTCACACTGAGCTAACAAAACAGTATTTTGTTGACGTCAGCGGTACGTCAACTTCCCACTGACGCCCAGAGAAGGCGCTTGTCCTAAGAAACTAGGCCCAGAACGTATGTTTGTTAGCGTGCAGGATTCTATGTGAGAATACAAAATCTCTCTACTTCATATGACCACAGAACCTCCGAAATACTGCCTTGAATACTGTTTAATAAGCCTATGTTGTGCATCCGATTCTCTATTTTTTTAAGTACTCTGAATACAAAAAGACATTAAGTAGTACAATCAACATTTATTTAACTTCTTCCGAAGACAAAATGTTTTTAAATGAGTGTGTTAGATGTCTTTGCCTTCAGTTGGATAAATACATTTAAAAATACTTATTCTTTTTTTTTTCATTATAAAAAACATTCATAAATTGTGTATGCTTAGGTCAATGTATGAAATCTCCTGTATTTTATAGAATGTCTAGTCATTGTATAAAAAAATAGAAAATTGACCGACAAAATTTTAAATCTTTTATGCATTGCCTAGACATTCTGTAAAATATTTATTAAGAAATACAATGAGGGGAAATAGGTTATGGGATACCTCTTAATGTAGTGTCGGACCTCCTCTATCTCTACGAAGAGCAATAACTTGACATGGCATGGACTCGACAAGTAGTTATAAGTCTCTCGTAGGAATATTTCTAGGAATCTCAATAGATGTCCGTAATTGCGAAAGCGATGTGGGTACAGGATTTTGTGAACGAACTGACTTCTCAATTATATCCCATTAATATTCGATTTGATTCATGGCGACCGATCTGCGCAGCCTTATCATTCACTAGAATTGTCCAGAATGCTCTTCAAACTAGTCGTTAAAAGTTAAGACCCAGTAACACGGTGCATTGTTATCTATAAAAATTCCAGCGTTGTTTAGGTAGATGAAGTCCTGCAAGTGACCCTTAAGTAGCTGAAAATAACCATTTCCAGTTAACGATCGATGCAATCGGACCATAAGAGTCGCAATGGCTCAGACGATAGAGCGTTCTCCTTCCAATGAGGTGAACCGGCTTGCACCGACCGCAGTGCTGACGTGAAATATCCTCAGTGGTAGACAGTACATGCGTTGGAGTTCCATTGCCCTCAGGCTAACCGTGGGAGATTCTCGTGGTCTTCTTCTCCATGTAACGCAACTGCAGGTTCGTTCCATCAAAAAGTCATCCAAGAAGGCGAATTTCGCCCAATACTTGATCCAAGAGTTCCCTTGTCTTCTGGATTGGGTTCAAAACCACAATGCTACGAAGTTGAATATTAGTGCTCGTATACCCAGAAAATTGGATCGGCTGTTCAACGACAGTTATAATTGGACCATAAAACCCCGTCCATAGCTTGAAAAATCAGCCCACACCACTATAGAGCCACAACCAGATTGCACAGTACCTTGTTGGCAAGTCCATGGCTTCGTGGGGTCTTTGACAAACTTGAACTCTCCCATCCGCCCTGAACAGCTGAAATCGGGACTCACCTGACCAAGCTACATTTTTCCTGTCGTCAAACTAATATGGTCACAAACCCGGGAGAGGAGCTGGATGTGATGTCATATAATGGCACTCGAGTCTGCTGCTATATCCCATTGCTGACAAATTTCGCCACACTGTCCCAATGGACACGTCCATTTCATATGCCGTATGGATGCTTGCAGCTACTTCACGCAATTTTACTTGTCTGTTAACACTGACGGTTCTACGCTCACGTCGGCGGTCTCGATCATTAAGTGCCACTGTATAGGTAGGCCACTGCATTGTTTTTTGTGTAAGGTTATATCTGAAATGAGATATTCTCGGCACACTCTCAACACTGTAGATCTAGGAACGCTAAATTCCTTTAAATTTTCGAAGTGGAATGTCCCATACGTCTAGCTGCAACTAACCTTTCACATTGAGAGTCTGTTAATCTTGTGGTCAAGATTACATTCCCAGATGAATAACCAGATGAACACAAATACAAATCCTACCAGTACACCACTCATATATACATTTTTACTCGATACTACTGCCATATGTATGTTTGCATATTCTATCCCAAGAATTTTACCGCCGCAGTGCATGAAGATATTCTAAACAATGACTGAGCAAAATATAAAATAATTTTCACATTTTATTGTTTGCCTAAAGAGAGTTTGTCATTCCATAGAATGCCTATACATTTCATACAATGACTAGGAAAAATATATACAAGTTCTTATGCTTCGTACTTAACCTGCATTCCATACAATGTTAAGCATTCCATAACATGCAATGTAAGTTTATGAAGAAAAAAAAATTGCTTACCTTCTATCGATGCTGCAGCTAAGCCTAACACTAGCATGAATACGAAACCTTTCATGTCTATAAAATATTTTAAATATTGTGTAATTTAGATAACAAAACCAGCCAAATTTATTGAAAGGCACAAGACAAAAATCAAAGAATTTTTTTTTTTAATTTTTATGCTAAGTTAATAAATTACTTTTTTAATTTTAAATTTCCAACAGATTTAACACTCAATAATATAAATCGAAAATTCCATATATTAATTTAATTTAAAATATATTACCGATTGTTTTCCTGCGAGAAATCCCCGATAGCTTCTGAATTAAGGATATTACGGTGATAATTTTAAGTTAATGTGACAAATTATGATAAACCAAAGGAAAATAGGTTTTTTTATGTTTTAATTTTTTAGCTATTACTTTTTCTTTCTTTTTATAGAATTTTTCCCACCTAATTTTTAACTTTCTTCCAAACCATTAGAGAGAAACTCATCATTTAAGAATTCGCGGAAAAATTAAATATTTTCATGTAAATTTCGAGAAAAAAAGAGAACATAGTGCTTATAGAAAATAGAACGGTTTGTTATTTTAAGAACGAAGCAATGAAAAAGGAGCTAAGGAAACAGCAAGATGGAAATCAAAATTTATAAATTTGAAGAGCGATTTTGGCTTAAAACAAAAACAAACAAAATTTGTTCGTTTGCTTGTCTTATCTTAGAAATAATACAGGTTAGAGAGGCACATAAAATTAGAAATAAGCATACCCTAATGACTATGCACGAAGAAAAATATGCGTAAAAAAATAAAAGAATGCACATCACCTTTAGTTCAATTTTATCTGTAAAAATAATTTTGAGAGTGAGAATTCATGACAATATATTCTACCTCCTTATAAATTTTCCTCTTAAGCTAGCACGAAGGTCGAAAGTATTTCTATTCTATTATTTCATCAACTGCTGATCAACGTTGCTTCATCGTCTGTCTTAAAAGCCTTTGTTTTTTGAACTTCTAAAATCCCGCATTCACGACTTCATTGGGAGCTTTTGCAAATATTCTTTAAGATAAGGGTCCAATTGCTTCCACTTGCTATCCGAAAAACATCAAAGATTTGGCAAAAGGAAAAAATTTGATTTCTACAATCCTATATTTTTATGGTTAACGGCCAAAACATATTTTTTTGCATAGCTGAATTTTGATATCATTCTTCCATCTCATTATTTAAATCGGAATATTAATAATTCGGCTTGCATTAGCAACGTAATAAATTCAGTGTCGTAAGTTCTATTTGAAGCAGAACAATGAAATTAGGCTTCTATTATCATTGTTATTTTAATTTTCATTATCACTCGTAGAATTCATTAAGCTCCTCGTTTATTATTGGAAATAAAATAATTAAAATCGTCTTCCATTATCATTATTAGATTGCTTTTTCACGAAATTATCACGGGAGTGTTAAGCTACTACAACGTTTATCGCAGAAGATGATTAACATTTGGCTTTCATTTGAATTGCTAAATAAATTCAACATCACTAGTTGAATTCAGGAAGCCATATTATTGGAAACATAATAATTAAAACCGTCTTCCATTATCATTATTAAATTGCTTTTTCACGAGATTGTCACAGTAGTATTCTTAACCTATTACATCGCTTATAATAGAAGACAATCTATAAAATTTGGCTTACACATGTATAATTAAATAAATACAGTGTCACGAGTTGAATTCATAAAGATTCATCTTTATTATCGGACGCATAATAATTAAAACCGTCTTCCATCATCCTTATTTGATTGATTTTTCGAGAGATTGTCACAGTAGTATTCTTAACCTATTACGTCACTTATAGAGGAAGACAATCAATAAAATTTGGCTAACATATGTATATTTAAATAAATACAGTGTCACTAGTTAAATTCATAGAGCTTCTTGTTCATTATCGGAAACATAATAATTAAAACATCCTTCCATTATCCTTATTAGATTGATTTTTCGCGAGATTGTCACAGTACTATTCTTAACCTATTACGTCGCTTATAGTGGAAGGCAATCAAAAAATTTGGCTTACACAAGTATTTTTAAATAAATTTAGCGTCATGAGTTGAATTCATAAAGATTCCTGTTTATAATCGGAAACATAATAATTAAAACCGTCTTCCATTATCCTTATTAGATTGATTTTTCGCGAGATTGTCACAGTAGTATTCTTAACCTATTACGTCGCTTATAGTGGAAGACAATCAATAAAATTTGGCTAACATATGTATATTTAAATAAATACAGTGTCACTAGTTAAATTCATAGAGCTTCTTGTTCATTATCGGAAACATAATAATTAAAACATCCTTCCATTATCCTTATTAGATTGATTTTTCGCGAGATTGTCACAGTACTATTCTTAACCTATTACGTCGCTTATAGTGGAAGGCAATCAAAAAATTTGGCTTACACAAGTATTTTTAAATAAATTTAGCGTCATGAGTTGAATTCATAAAGATTCCTGTTTATAATCGGAAACATAATAATTAAAACCGTCTTCCATTATCCTTATTAGATTGATTTTTCGCGAGATTGTCACAGTAGTATTCTTAACCTATTACGTCGCTTATAGTGGAAGACAATCAATAAAATTTGGCTAACCTATGTATAGTTAAATACATTTAGAGTCACGAGTCGAATTCATAAAGATTCTTGTTTATTATCGGAAGCATAATTATTAAATTCGTCTTCCATTATCCTTATAAGATTGATTTTTCGCGAGATTGTCACAGTACTATTCTTACCCTATTACGTCGCTTATAGTGGAAGGCAATCAAAAAATTTGGCTTACACAAGTATTGTTAAATAAATTTAGCGTCATGAGTTGAATTCATAAAGCTTCTTGTTTACTACCGGAAATATAATAATTAAAACCGTCTTCCATTATCCTTATTAGATTGATTTTTCGCGAGATTGTCACAGTACTATTCTTAACCTATTACGTCGCTTATAGTGGAAGACAATCAATAAAATTTGGCTAACATATGTATAGTTAAATAAATACAGTGTCACTAGTTAAATTCATAGAGCTTCTTGTTCATTATCGGAAACATAATAATTAAAACATCCTTCCATTATCCTTATTAGATTGATTTTTCGCGAGATTGTCACAGTAGTATTCTTAACCTATTACGTCGCTTATAGTGGAAGACAATCAATAAAATTTGGCTAACATATGTATATTTAAATAAATACAGTGTCACTAGTTAAATTCATAGAGCTTCTTGTTCATTATCGGAAACATAATAATTAAAACATCCTTCCATTATCCTTATTAGATTGATTTTTCGCGAGATTGTCACAGTAGTATTCTTAACCTATTACGTCGCTTATAGTGGAAGACAATCAATAAAATTTGGCTAACATATGTATATTTAAATAAATACAGTGTCACTAGTTAAATTCATAGAGCTTCTTGTTCATTATCGGAAACATAATAATTAAAACATCCTTCCATTATCCTTATTAGATTGATTTTTCGGGAGATTGTCACTGTAGTATTCTGAACCTATTACATCGCTTATAGTGGAAGACAATCAATAAAATTTGACTAACCTATGTATAGTTAAATACATTTAGAGTCACGAGTCGAATTCATAAAGATTCTTGTTTATTATCGGAAGCATAATTATTAAATTCGTCTTCCATTATCCTTATAAGATTGATTTTTCGCGAGATTGTCACAGTACTATTCTTACCCTATTACGTCGCTTATAGTGGAAGGCAATCAAAAAATTTGGCTTACACAAGTATTGTTAAATAAATTTAGCGTCATGAGTTGAATTCATAAAGTTTCTTGTTTATTATCGGAAACATAATAATTAAAACCGTCTTCCATTATCCTTATTAGATTGATTTTTCGCGAGATTGTCACAGTAGTATTCTTAACCTATTACGTCGCTTATAGTGGAGGACAATCAATAAAACTTGGCTTACACAAGTATTGTTAAATAAATTTAGCGTCATGAGTTGAATTCATAAAGCTTCTTGTTTACTACCGGAAATATAATAATTAAAACCGTCTTCCATCATCCTTAGTGGATTGATTTTTCGTGAGATTGTCACAGTACTATTCTTAACCTATTACGTCGCTTATAGTGGAAGACAATCAATAAAATTTGACTAACATATGTATAGTTAAATTAATGCAGTGTCACGAGTTGAATTAATAAAGATTCTTGTTTATTATCGGAAACATAATAATTAAAACCGTCTTCCATTATCCTTATTACATTGATTTTTCGCGAGATTGTCGCAGTAGTATTCTTAATCTATTACGTCGCTTATAGTGGAAGACAATCAATAAAATTTGGCTTACACAAGTATTGTTAAATAAATTTAGCGTCATGAGTTGAATTCATAAAGCTTCTTGTTTATTATCGGAAACATAATAATTAAAACCGTCTTCCATCATCCTTATTAGATTGATTTTTCGCGAGATTGTCACAGTAGTATATATTTAGCCACCTTCGTCGCTTATAGTAGAAGACCAGAGATGCCAACTTGCTCCGAACAACAAATATATTTTTTAAAGTGGTAGTTTATCAATTGTGATTCTTGGTTCAATAAATTCAATTTAGTAAATTTTCATCCACCACTATTTCTAAATAATTCGTAAGCTTATATAATTCACCACTTTTTAGTAGTATGTTATGCTATACCATTTAAAAAGCAAGCAAAAATAGTCAAATATTTTCAAAATTTACTTTGTAGCTCTTTACCGCTTTTTTAATAATTTTGGCGTGTCCGGAGCTGTTGGCATCTCTGGAAGACAATCAATAAAAATTTGGCTTACGTATATATTGTTAAATAAATTTAGCGTCACGATTTGAATTCATAAAGCTTCTCATTGTAACTATTTACTTCAAATTGTAACTACTACCAAAATCAATTATCATTGACGTCAATAATAATATTGGAGGGGCCGGGATAGCCTGGTCGGTAGGGCGCTGGGCCCATATCCAAGAGGTCGTGGGTTCGATCCTCGCCGGCCGAAGACTCCCCGTGTAGTAAATGGTGACTGATGCACGTTAAATCTGTCGAGTCTCAAAGTCCTCCATGTTCCCACAACAAATCAATACCTCTGGGGGTACTGATCTAGGAGTTTCCTTGTCTTCTGGATTGGTTCAAAATTACAAGGCTACGGAGTTGAACGTAAGTAGTCGTAAACCCATGAAATTGGGTCGGCTGTTCAACGACGGTTATAAAATGAAATAATAATATTGGCTCGTTTTATTACTTCCGCTTCAACGAATTAGTACGATTTTTCCCTTCATATTGCTTTTTAGTTAAAAACTTTTTTTTTAATTTCATTTACCGTTGATTTTAAATTATTTAGTTTTGTAGAAACCTGTTTTAAAAGCATAACTATAAACAAAATAAACACGTGACTTCAGATAAGATTAAATATATTAATCAGGTGATGTAGTCTGCTTATGCTAGTGAGATCGCGTTGATCTTTTGGATAATCTGGCATGACGAATAAAAAATAATTAGGTATTGCAGAACGAGAAATAAACAACTTTTTTTATTAGAGCTATACACACACATACAGACACGCTCACACACACTCTTTATTTCATTATATGTACAGATAATTTATTTTACTACTTTATTCTATTTATGTTATAATAATATTTCTTAAAATGCCCTAGAAATAAAATTTTAGAGATGAAAAACTGTTATGCTTTAAAATTATTAATGATTTAACTTGCATTGATGTTTATATTTTAATCAACGTCTTTTTCATTGGCTTAAAATTACCACTATCCAAAACGCACTTTGAAATATGAATTATAAATAATTATTCGCAATAAATTTGGTAAAAAAAAATTTGTTTTAATTTGCAATTATGATCTAACGAGTTAAATTAATTTTTCATGTAATTGTATAAATTTATGAATGTAATAAATTAATGGACTAATTAAAAAAGGAAATGTTATTTAAAATCTCATTTGCATCAAAAAGAAAAAAAATTCTCCTGAAATTAAAATTAATCTTAATACTGAATGCAAGAATTGAATTTACGCTATAAAATGCGTAACCAATATTCCATAAAATCTTATTTCAAAGAGACTTTTCTGCGAGATAATAAGAAAATGTATTAAAAAGTTGCATTAAAATTACTCGTAAATACATTAGATTTTCCATGTGTTTCCAATTAAAAAAGAATGAATTCTATTAAAAGATGATATCTTTATTTAAATAAAATTAATATCTTATTTAATCTTTTCTGTTTTTTATTTCTTGAATTCTTTCTTTGATTTCTTCCCAAATATTGCCAAGTTCTTCTTTGTATTGTTTGAAGAATTCTCCGGCTTCATTTGCAACCTCTTTGCTAATTCCTTTGGCGTGCTTTGCAAACTAAAATAAAATAGAGCAATTTAATTATTTTCTTGCATTTCAATTTAATTTGCATTTTTGCTTATTTATGTGAACTTTAATTTTATATTTAATGTATTTTTTATACTCTTTTAAGTTTTTCGAAATGGAATTAAAATCCATAAATGTATTTTGCTATTCATGATGCTTGTTTAAAATTTTTAAGAAGTAGAAATCATTAAAACATGATATATATATCATACTTTTGTATCATACGTTGTCATACTTTTAAGTAGTAGATTGGTTAAAATTTTAAATCTTACAATTAAAAAATTAAAAATTTTATTCATTAATAATTCATGAAATTAAATATAATATTTACTACAACTTTTCAGTATTTAAAAAATTGTATAAAATATTCAACTACTTTTAATAATAAAATTAACATTCTCTCTACTCAGGAAAAGTAACAATAAAAATATCTAATTAAAAAAGCTATAATAATGTAAATAATTTAAATTGAAAGATAAAAAAATTTACACTATTATTATTTATTAATACGAAACAAAAAAAAATAATGAATTGCAAAAGTACATTGAAAAAAAATTATTAACATGCTTATAACGAAATAGGCTTTCAAAATTCATTTTTGAAAATAAGTTTCAATTAAATGAAACTACGTGAAACATTTTTTACATTAAACAAAAAAAATTATTAATTTAAAATATTATAATATTTTGATTTTATAGCAATGTAAGAAGTTAAGAAACATAAAATTAAATTTTTATTTTATTTGATAGTTTGGAAGTTTTTTGTACGATTATTTCATAAAATGTTTGACGGATTATATTATAAAAATATTATCTACAATAGGTATTAATTATTATAAATGATTATTTATCAATCACTACTCATTATGTATAAGAGTACTTGAAAATTAAATGGTTAAAAAATTAATTAATAATTAAAACTAATAGAAAATTCTGACAAAAAACCCTGCTGTGATTGTATTAAGCATGTNTATATATATATATATTCTAGCATTGTGATCACATGCTTAATACAATCACAGCAGGGTTTTTTGTCAGAATTTTCTATTAGTTTTAATTATTAATTAATTTTTTAACCATTTAATTTTCAAGTACTCTTATACATAATGAGTAGTGATTGATAAATAATCATATATATATGGGTGTGATTACGATCCAGAAGGGGTTAATTTATGGCTATTTTTCGAACGCTCCATCGTACGAATTAATGCTATTAAATTCCTAATGCAAAATAGTTCGAACTGCTGTGAGTTTATAACAGTAGTTTAAATTTAGTTCATAACAAGCAACTTTTAAATTCTATGCTAATTACGAAAATGACACAAAATGTTAATGCAAAGAAAATTCATAAAATCTGTGCAAATTAAATGCATTTCCAATTTTATTATTTATTGTCTTAAACGTTATTTTCTTATGTATTTTTACGCACTTAAAAATATAACAAATATTAAAAATTATTCATAGATTTAAATCATTTTCATGTGGTAAAAATTTGTCAAAAATTCTCTTTTTGTTTAATATTTAAAATATCCAACCATTTCAAAGTTCAAACAATATCCAACAGCGAAATAATATAGTTTGATATTAAAGTTTTGCTCCAAGTTAAGGATTTCAAACAGTGTTTTTTCCCTTGACAAAAGAACTTCACCTTTAAACAAAAAAAACCATTGTTTACCTCCTTGGCTATAGCTTTGATATTCTCCATTCTGTCCTTTGAGGCCTCCATTCCTTTATTAAAATGCTCCTTTACCCATTCTCCGAATTTCATGTATTTTTCCTGAAGGTCAATCTTCAGGTCTTTAAAGTAATCCTTTACTTTCTCCCAATAGTCCTTGATTCCACGAAGAGGTCTATCACTTTCTTCATCGTCATCCTCATCTAAAAGTGCATCAATCAAGATAAGCATCTTTTTCTTCGCCTTCTCTTTGATCAGTTGTAAGAAATGCCTCAGTAACTTAAAAAGAAAAAAGGGTGGAATAATTTTGTTATTTTGAGTAAAAGAAAATGCACAGCTATTTTACTTTTATAAGAAAAAAGGGAATGCAATTTCTAAAGTCAAAAAGAAAGGGAAAAGAAAGAATTGAAAGAGAAGAGAGTCCTTAAACTTAATGGCAGTTTTATGTCCAAGAATGAATTTCTAAAATCACTCTTACTATTTTTTATCTTTCAAAAAATATAAGGTGTTTACAAATCAACACCCTTAATGTATAATTTAAAGATGCTTGTTAAAAAACAAAAGTACTACATTAGAAACTGTATTAAAGATATCTGGCCGAAAAAAATGAAAGCGTTAAAAGTGAATCATTGCTAAGATATAAGAAATTGTGGAGTCTTATCGATGGCGTTTTCATGACAAACAAGAATAAATCACGAACTTCTTACCTTCACGACTTCCCGCAAGACAGTTCACAGTTGCTTATAACAATTTATTGTGTGAGGCAATATTTTCAAATTTAATTTTGTTTTCAGCAAAATAAATAAACAATGTAGCGCCTGAGCTCAAATCTGCTACATTTCATAAGATTTCAATAATATTGAGTAATCCTAGTGAGCTTGAAGTGACTTTTTGTTTCAGTTAGCTAAAGATATATTGTTTAGAAAGGAGATAAGGTTGCTGCATTTTATTTTATTTTTTTATTTTATAACCGTCGTTGAACAGTCGACCCAATTTTATGGGTTTACGACTACTAATGTTCAACTCTGTAGCCTTGTAATTTTGAACCCTATCCACAAGACAAGAGAACTCGTGGATCGAGTATTGGGAGAAATTTGCCTTCATGGAGGATTTTTTGATAGAGCTAACCCGCATTTGCGTTTCATGGAGAGGAAGACGACTAGAACCTTCCACGTTTAGCCTGACGGCAAGGGGATTCTAACCCATGATCCGTCTATCACGGAGGATATTTCATGTCAGCACTGTGGTCGGGACAAGCAGGATGCGAGATTCGTATCGACTGGGGTTCGAACCCGGTTTGCCGCATTGGAAGGCAAACACTCTATCCCCTGAGCCATCGCGGCTCTGGTTGCTACATTTAAAAGAACTCACTTTTTGGCAGTCCTGATTTGGCTTCTTTGGACTTGATTATTTTTATTTGTTCCTGTTGCAAGCAGTGCACCTTGCATATGTTAGTATTTAGTTAGAGAAGCGAGATAAAGTTTATTTTGAAAATTATCACTTAGATTTAAATTTCGCAGTCAGTTCATAGTTTGGAAGACAATGAATTTTTTTATAACAATTTTTATTCTAATTAATTCTATTATTCTAATTAATTAAATTCCTACTCTTATTCTAATTCTTTTTGTTACCTCTCAGATTGCATGCTTACTATCATTTCATAATATAAGTTTATATTTAAATAACTACATGTACTGTCTTCACTATTTACTGCCTTTTCATTATTTACTACAATTTGGTTGAAAGTGTTCATTTTTAGCCCAATGGCCTCAAAATAAACCGGATACAGTAACCCGGAAATATGGGTGGCAAAGATCCAATAGAGCTCCCTGGTGCAGAAAGCCCTATCTATAATACGTTGGTATTTGTAAAGCCAATATAAAAAAGTTATCCAAGAGATGCTGTTTTTGGGGGTAAATTAAAAGACGGTTATAATACTAGAATTGCATAAATGAAAAGTGAACGAGAAATAGCGTCAAAGATACAGTTGAGATAGTAGCTCCCTCTTCAGGTTTATAGATTAAAATAAGAAGAATGCACCACAGATTGAGTGTAGCCGATTCATCAGGCCACATGAAAGCATTTAAAGTGAATGTAAAATTCTTTTATTTAATCCAAAACGAACGCCGTAAAAAGTGCTCTGCTAAATATAATATAGGATTAGCCATTATTTACGTAAAGATTTAGAGGGAAGAATAGCTATGTTTGATTTACGGAAACTTATTCAAACCAGCCAGAACAACACGTCGTATATCTCCCGCATTTCGTATATCAATTTTAAATATATACATAGCGTATGACGTATTTTCCAATGTCAAATTTTACAAAAATATAATGAAAACTGATGTTTTAAAACTTTTACATTATCGTTTTTCTATTTAAAAAAAACTTACCTCAGAGCCTTGATTGAAAATCTTCTCCAATTTTTCTTTCAAAAGTTCAGGATCAACATTGTTTTTAAGCTAAAAAGGATGATTCATTAAATTAATGAGAAATGCTAGTCAATATGCGGAAATCATCAAATCGGCTACCGTCCACTTTTACCAAAACCATTTTTTAACATTTTTGACCAGAAATTTAATACTAACACTAAACCATTTTAACACTAAAATTCATAATTTTAAGTTTTCATGAAATAATTTTTAAATTTAAAATAATAAATTAAAATAAACAATTGAATGCTTTGAACTGAAACTAAAACCATAACAAAAAATGAAACAATACTATACGTGGAAGAAAAAAATATCTGCAGATATAAATAATGTGAAAAAAATACTGTTTTGCACCTTCTATTGCTAACATTACAGTTACTATTTATTTTGTGAATAATTTACACAGTGTTGCATAGTTATACGTTAAGTATTTATTTAGAGTATTTTAATGGAAATAAAAATTTAGTCACGGAATAATTATTTAGATTTATTTTTGAACCATTCTAAAACGGCTTTAGAAATTTCAAACAAGAGGTCATAGGTCATTCAGAGGTCATAACATAAACGTTCGAATAGTGCCACATACTCTCTTTCCAAAAATAGGAAATGGAGCTTACATTTTACTAGAATCTTTCAATTATTTCTGATATTCACTACATAAAGAACTTTGTCAATATCGAGGACATCTTTAAAAATTGTTAAGATTAAAGTCAAAGTACTTCCGGACTTAAAAAAGCAGCGGTAACAGCTAGACTGTGAAAAAATTTGGTTTGTTTTATGACAATTTAGTTACAATTTAAAACTAATTTAGATTTCAGGATTAGAGAAAGGGTTTAGGAATTATAATTTGGCTTGTTTATCCTTAAATTTTATATTGAACGCGATAATTGTGACAACTGACCAAAGACCGCTAGTACGAAGATTTCAGACATTCATATAACTATTTTGATATACAGGCTATTGGAGAACAGAATCGGATATTTTTTGTCAATGCCAACGTTTTTAAAAATCGATTGGAAAATTAGGATTTTTATTCTACCAATTTAAATATTTAGTGTCTGATAGCTTATAGATTTATTTCGGGTGTTCAACATCTAATTTCGTCTCTTTTCAGCTTTTATTTTCAATTGTTAAAATAAGCTTTGCATCACGTTTAAAAGATGCCGAGCTTTTCTTTCCTAATAAATGACGCGGTAGAACAGAGCCGAAACTTTTACAGTCGAACATGCTTGAGTAGCTGTATTCCATAATGCTAGGTCAAAATTACTGAGTCTTAAATGTGTTTACGTTAAAAAAAAGTTATAAAGAAAGTTTTATTTGTGATTTTTCTTCCTGAATCTAATCAGCAAGGTATATTCATGTTAAATTTCAGATATACAGTGCGCAAGAAAAAAAATAGACCGTCCTGAATATCCTTTGATCGTATCTTCACGTTTTAGGACTCGATGGGGTGACATTTAAATATGTCAATTAAGAGGGAAAGACGATATTTTAAGTTACGAAATCAGACATAGAAACGTACTTTCTCTAAATAAACATACCTTTTTTTTTTTCGACGGATTCGGAATTCTGTCCCCCAAAATATAGGGGGTAGCCGCAATCTGGAAAATATGGCTCTAATAGTTTGGTCTGGAGCACGGCCCAAAGTTTTGACTCCTTAATGTTAATTTTACCTTTTTGCATATGTCACTATAACTCGAAAAATTTTTAAGTTTTAATTCTTTTATTAAATAATGGTCGAAAACCTTTCGAATTTCAAGCTGTACAATTTTTAACTCATTTTGAAGAATATAATTTTACATGGAAAAATACAAATTTTGAGAAAAATCGTTCGAATAGTTCCTGAGAAATTAAATTTTAAATATTTGACCTTTTTTTATTATTATTATTCAATTTCTCAGGAACTATTCAATCGATTTTGATCAAACTTTATATTTTAAAATGGATGCGAAAAATTACATATATTTTTTTTTCATTCTAAAACCCCTTAAACGTTTTCTGGAGTATTAGAGCCATAATATTAATTTTTTGGAATAAAGAAATGCTTACTAAAGGAAAAAAATATATATTTTTATTATTTCTCTACATACCCTGTTTTTATTCGATTAGATCAGATAAAAACAGATTTTAGCATACTTCAAAATAATTATTAATTTACAGTTGAGTTTTTTTTACCTTAAGTTATCCTTATTTTCGTAGCTAAAATCTTATTTTATCATTCAAATAAATACATAAGCAATTTTAGTCACGGAGTTTCTTAGAAGAAAAAAACTTCCAACTTGTCCAACTTCCCCCTATTTAATTTGACTAGGTTTATTTGATCAAATTTGATTCAGTAAAGAACCGAAACTGAAAAATTAACTTGCTCATAAGAAATAACTGTAACTATATAATATTATATAATATGAAATTAAGAAATTTAAATGCAAACAATGTTTAAACTCTCAAATGGTACAATTTTGTTAACCTTTACCATTTGTCATTTGCAACGTTGTCACCTTAATCTCATAACAAACAAATTGCTGTCGTAATTTTATAAGTTATAAATATTAAGTGTGTTATACTATCATTATTGTATTAAAAAATAACATGAAAACTAGCTATATTCATTGAAACATTTATTTATTATTTATTAAATGTTTTCTTGGCATTACTCATTATTTTTTATTTAATTCATTTATTTTTAAAAATATTTTTAATTTTAAGATTTATAAACATTACTTTTAACTGTTATGTTAAAGTTTTAAGTGACGTATTTCCAAATTTGAATGAAATCGGTTAATAGTTTTTGAGTAATAAAGTTTTTAGGAAATTATATTTTAAAAATTTAACACACTCAAAAATGCACTAGGAGCTGCATAATTTCCAAATCGGAATTTTAAAATGCCTTAGGTTAGAGCATGTCAAAAAAAGTTGGAAAACATTGGCTTAAAAAGAATAAAACTTTATTTTACATTTTTTCCCAACTTCAATTGATAACCTGAGATAAAAGTATTTAAAAAAAACTTACATAATGTAGAGGATTACTTATATAAATCGAAGGTTTTTAAAATACTTACATGTTCTTTTATTTTCAAAAGCACCTCCCGAATATTAAGTTCTGCAAATGATTCTTCTACTTGATCGTCGATATATCTCTTAGTTTGTGAAAGCCTATCAATATGATCTTTCAGATATTCCATGGATTTGTCTCTAATTTTTTTAAGAAGTTCCTTTATTTCTTCACTAATTTCGTCTTTCTTTCCTTTAAAATAAGCTGCAATTTCTTGAAGCTAATAATAAAATTAATTAGAATGCAAATTTTTATAACCAGTATTTTATTTTTTTTATTATTTAAATAAGAAATAATGCATTGTATTTACAAAAAATTAGTTGTTTCAAGCTGTTGTATCTTTGATATTAAGATCTTACTTTTAAGTTTCTTTGCAATTTTTTTTTTCATTTTATCTTAAAACTTGCACTGATTACATAAAACTAATGTAAAAGACATCAGATTTGAAAACTACAATATGCTTTGTTTCATTAAAAATCTAAACTTTAAATTAAAAAATATTAGAAACTACTAAAATCTAACTACAATACATTACACATTTACTGTTAGAAAGATTCTTTTTTTAATGAGAAACAAAGTTTTATAGAAGAAATATTTTTGTTTCCTCTTTTAATCCTTCAACCATTTATTCTTTAACAAGATGACAAAAACCCTAATTTAGAATCGATTTTGACTAAAAAATCCTTTTTATATTGTAAGATTGAAATTTTTTATTGATGATTGAAATAAAAGGTACGGTCATTTTAAACGAAACTATGAGCTCTTCTAAATGAAAGATATGGACCTTTAAAAAAACTAGTCGTAAAACTTTTTAAATAAAATTTTTAGAGGTTATAAGGTTTAGAGGTAATAAATATCCATTTTTCAATCCTAGGAATAGATTCCCGGCTCTCTGATAAGCGAGAAAATTATTTTAATGCTCTTCAAGAAAAAAAGTTTTGGATCACTTACTGTAGACACATTTACTACAACATTTACTAATTACAGCAGTTAAGCAATGGCCAAAATTTAGTTCTTCATAAATAAATTTTTGAGTACTTAATACTAATAATACGAAGTTCTTGAACTGCAATTTTGCTCTTAAGCAATATTTTTAGGAACAAAAAGAGGAGCATAATAATTTTTGCGGCGGTTGCATGAGGCAAATGACGAGAGATACTTAAAAGCTATTTACAAAATCAGCTTTTGAGACCATCTTTAAAGCATCCGTACAGAGTGTATTTGACTTAGATGTATAAGTAGCGAAAATTACTTATACATCTAGGCTTATATAAGCGTATAAGTAATGAAAATTTCTCTTTTGAAACCTCAGAAAGTATTTGTCATTTAAATAAGTTTTTAAATATTCAATAGAAATTATAATTTTTTCTCCTTTTTTTAAAAAATACAAGAACTTTCTAATCTTGATATTTAAATTGAAATTGTTCAGTATTCATCAATATTGTGTCAGAAGAACCATATACTTTAGCGATGGAACTTGGTTTTTTGTTAATGTTTTCTTACACCGAAATGTATGAATTTGTACTCATACCCTTCAGCTTCAAACAAAATTATCAAAAAAGTTAAATTACCTTATTCAAAGTATCTTGATCCAAGAACTTTCCCTCCTCTACGGCAGTTTTAAGATTCTCGAAAATTTTATTCAGAACTTCCTTTAATTGTTTCCCAAACTTCAGTCTTAATTTCGTCAGGTCATTAACATTCCTTCAAAACAAAACAAAAAATATATATAATTCTTCAATTTTTTCACACCATTAAACAATATATGCATTTAAAATTTTATCAAGTCTTTATCTCTCCTACTAACAAAAACAAATGTCCCTTGATTTTCTCATATTAAACGTAACATTTAATTTCTCACAGACAACTCTCCTTCAAAACAAAAACAAATGTGCAGCCCCCTAATTTCCTCACAATATAAAAATCAAATATCAATTTCGTCAAATTATTAACTATCCTTTAAAACGGATACAAAGAGGCAGATCATTAATTTATTCACACCATTAAACACTTCGTTGTCATTCTTTAAGTATTTAACTACTTACTGTAGAGTAATACTAATGTAAAAGAGCGCAAAGTATTAAAATACTATAACATTTGAAAGTGCCTATACAGTGAACTCAAAAACTACACTGAAAACTGAGTGAATTTTAATGGTACTTAAATTGAGGCCAGGATAGCCTGGTTGGTAGGGCACTGGGCCCATGTCTAATAGGTCGTGAGTTCGATCCCCGCCGGCCGAAAACTCCCCGTGTTGTAAAGGGTGACTGATGCACGTTAAATCTGTCGAGTCACAAAGTCCTCCATGCTCCCATAACCTCTGGGTCATACCTCTGGGGGCACTGATCCAAGAATTTCCTTTTTTTTCCGGATTGGCTCAAAATTACAAGGCTGCGAAGTTGAACATTAGTAGTCATAAACCCAAAATTGGATCGGCTGCTTAACGATGGATATAAAATTTTAAAAAATGATACTTAAATACCGAATGTATAAAGGTGTTCATTGTGAACTCACTCTATGTATTTTTAAGAATCCTCGTAAAGTGCACACAATTCAGTAGCAGATTCATTTTTAAATTAGAAGGGGAAAGAAAACAGAAGCAGGATCGAAATGTGACGAATTACTGTTGAGGAAAGTGGTTGCTTAAAACATCAAAGCCTGTTTGGTTACTGATTGAAACTGAAAAATATTTCGTCTTTCTACTGCTCTCTGTTACCTTTTGCAATTGTTACAAATTTTGATTAAAAAAACTAGTACGTCCATCTACCTCAAAAATGATTTGTCAGACATCAATAACATTTTTATTTTGCTCTTCCTTAAATATGAATGTGATCCCCTTTTCGGTATTCATATTTGAAAAAGATTCTGAAAGTATGTTTTAAGAGAAATCATTAACACGGCATTCAAAATATGAGCTGCATCCCTTCCCATACTTTGAGTGTCTATATTCCAAATCCATCTAAAAAAGGCATCATTATTCGGAGAAAGCACATTTGTGTGTTTTAATTCCTAACATAATACCATTATTGCAGTTTTTGCCAGCATATTTAATTTAACCCAGGTAGCAGAGAATCATCAATGTTACGTCAAAAATACGTTTATTTCACCTTTAAATTTTACTAAGCATTCGTAAAATTTACGTAAAACTGAAACGTCAACAAAAAATGGTAACCCAAGAAAGTTAAAATTTTACGTAAACTAATTCGTTTCTTTTACGGATATTTTACCAACCACTGTTTACTAAGTAAGAATGAGAACATTATTTTCACATAATAATTATGTCAACAATATGACAAAATTTACGTAAGTTGAAACTTCAAATTATAGAGAAGAAAAAAAACAGATAGTTAAAAAAGAAACAGCAAATTTGTTTACTACTTTTACTGCTTTTTACAGGGTAAAAATGAGTGCGTTGTTTTTTCCTAATATTTACGTCAACAATACGTCACACGTAAGTTGAAACGTCAAATTATAGCAAAAAATGGTTAGAAACAAAACGAAAAATTTACGTAAAATTTTACGTAAACTAATTCGTTTCTTTTACGAATACTTTACAAACCACTTTTTACTAGGTAAGAATAAGAACATTATTTTCACATAATATTTACGTCAACAATACGTCAGAATTTACGTAAGTTGAAACGTCAAATTATAGGGAAAAAAACAGTTAGTTGGAGAAAAAAAACAGAAAATTTGTTTAAATAAATTCGAACCGAAATTTAAATGGTAAATATGCTTTGTCAATAATACGTAAAATAAACGGATTCATTTTTACTAAATCTAAATAGTAAATATTCTTTCGTTGATATTTAGTAAAATATACGAACGCAATCTTACCGAAGGGTAGTTGGTAAAATACATTCCATTTATATTACGTAAAATATGACAAACCTTTTCTACCAAATATCTCAATGGTAATATCATTCCGTCAATATTACGTAAAATTTACGAATAAAGCGCATTGACTTTACCAATTTCCCAAAAATTTACATTTAATTTACGTATCATGCTACATGGGAAGCCTTCTGAACCGTTCAAACTGTTTCTTGGTGGAATGACAGTCCTATCATTAGATCGGAAGTTATTAATCCATTAAGTTAGTTCATTGGGAAGTTATTTTATTTTATTTTATTTTATAACCGTCGTTGAATAGCCAACACAATTTTATGGATTTACGGCTACTAATGTTCAACTCCGTAGCCTTGTAATTTTGAACCCAATCCAGAAGACAAGGGAAGTCCTGGATCAAGTATTGGGAGAAATTTGCCTTCGTGGAGGACTTTTTGATAGAGCTAACCCTCATTTGCTTTACATGGAGAGGAAGACCACGAGAACCTCTCCCGGTAAGCCTGACGGCAAGGGGACTTTAACCCATGATCCGTCTACCACTGAAGATATTTCTTGTCAGCACTGTGGTCGGTGCAAGCCGGATGCGGAATTCGTATCGACCAGCCATTGCCGGGATCGAACCCCGGTTTACCTCATTTGAATGCGAACGCTCTATCCCCTGTGACATCGCGGCTCATTAGGAAGTTATTAACCCTATTGACCATCCCATCATTAGATCGGAAGTTATTAAAGTGCTGTATTTTCATTATGCGTGCTGTACAACCAGTCGCAGAAGTTAGTATGCTCGTGTATTGTATTTCTTCGAAAAGAATACTTTCACTCCCTGCAAGATCGCTAAAATACATTTTTGTTTAATTTCAAGATTGTTTAGATCGTTCGAAATGCTGTTTGTGATAGAAACTTTCAGAAATTTCGTTATTCAATTTATACAAATATTAATTTACGTTAAAAAAACAACAAATCTAGAAATAAAAAAGCATCTTATGTATCCAATTTGCATGCAGATTATTTGCATAAAACTGTGATAAAAATTCATATTGCTTACTCGTCAGCTTGACGATCCTCCGAAACAACATGATGCTCTATCGATGCCACTTCTTCAATACCTTCTAATGCGTCTAGAATGTATTCATTTACGGTGTCATCCAGCTCTAAAAACAGTTTTAAGATTTGAATTTAAGAAACTTTTAGGTAAGAAAGAACTGTAAACATTCATTTTCAAACCTAATTTCATGATATCTGTGCGCATGAAACAATAAATAAAAGACGACGTTTCTGAAACAGCAATGTTGCAACTATATTCTTATGCTATCTAAAGTTGATCATATAATGGCAGATCAAGTTGAAACCATTAGTTTTCAAACTTAATTTTCAAACTTTAAAAAAAAAAACATTTATATGCATAAATAATAAAAATAAAATGTTTCGCAAACAGAGCAGTCACTTTTGCATTCTCGTACCACCTTTTTATAAAATCATTTGTACGCACATATAATAAAAGTGAAATGTTTCGCAAACAGAGCAGTCACTTTTGCATTCTCGTACCACCTTTTTATAAAAGCTTTTATACGCATAAATAATAAAAGTAAAATGTTTCACAAACAGCGCAGTCACTTTTACATTCTCGTACCATCTTTTTATAAAAGCATTTATACGCATAAATAATAAAAGTAAAATGTTTCACAAACAGAGCAGTCACTTTTACATTCTCGTACCACCTTTTTATAAAAGCATTTATGCGCATAAATAATAAAAGTAAAATGTTTCTCAAACAACGCAGTCACTTTTGCATTCTCGTACCACCTTTTTATAAAAACATTTATACGCATAAGCAAAAAATATAAAATAATGTTTCGCGAACAGCGCAGTTTTATTTTTTGCATAGTTCGCTTTATCTTGGAATGTTTTTAAGCGAATCGAAAAAAAATTTACACACAAGTACAAAATTCGTTTACCTAAAGATAGTTTTATGTAAAAAATAAGTTTTAATAATTGTTTATTATTTTTTAAGAATTTTATTTAATAATAGTCTTACATTTTTTTAAATACAAGATATACCATTTTTTTACAAAATTTTACACAATGACATTTTAAATTACAAAATTACAAGAAATTCTAGCAAATAATCTGGGTATAACAAAATTTCAAAGAAATCGTATTTTTGAATATTAGTTTCTATTCAACCAATTTTCTTCTAATTTCAGATTTCATGATACAAAATTATGCAGATAAAAAATTTATTTATTTTACAGGTCAAATTTTTTTCATCATTGCTAAATTAAATTTTAAAAAATTATACTTTTTGTACGAAATTATCTTATGGATACTTTACAATCGTGTGAAAAATGTTTTGATTCACTTCATTATGGTGTGCGAAATAAACAAAAAGTAATATTAACATTATAAACCTCTGACTTTCGACCGCCTTCTTAACTGAACCTTCGAAACTTTATTTCCAGAATGCAGTTACGACCTGCATTTTTGAGGGTCAAGAATTCGAATTTGTCATAGAAAAAGGTACGTTCATACTGAGAAAGAACGTTTTTGTATCTTATTTAGCCACTCAAGAATATCGCCTGAAGAAATTAATTAGCATAGTATTTAAATACATGTCCTTGAACCATTAACATTGAATCCTAGTCCGTCAAAATCTGATCATTATAAGCAAAAGCAATTCAGTACGTTCGTTTTTGTTTTTGTTTTTTACACACTGTGCAATGCGCCAAAAAAATGACCACTTTGAATAACTTTTGATCTAATGATCAGTTCTATACGTTTCAGGACTCAATAGTTTGAGAAGGTGACTTCAAATATGCTAATTCATTAATGCAAACAATATTTTAAGTTACGAAATCTTACACAAAAACATACTTACTCTGAATAAACATACCTTTTTTTTTACTGATTCGGATTTCTTACCCTCAAAATATTGACGGGGGAGCCGCAATCTGGGAAATATGGTTCCAATAATTTGGTCAGGAGTGCGTTGCGAAGTTTGGACCCGTTAATGTTAATTTTACTTTTTGCGTACTTCGCCATATCTGGAGAACTTTTTAAGCGTATTGAAAAATTTTTGCACACAATTATAAAATTCGTTTATCCAAAAATATTTCGTGCAAAAAAAATTCATTATTTTTTATTATTTTATTTATAATTGTCGAAAAAAAATTTGAATTGTAAGGTAAACAATTACGTAATTTTACATGGGGAAAAAACTAAATTTGTGCAAAATCGGTCGAATAGTTCCTGAGAAATGGAATTTTAAAGAAGTTGAATAGTCAAAATTCGATTTCTCAGGAAGTATTCGACCGAGTTCGTCCAAATTTTGTATTTTGCCATGTGAAATTACATACTTTAAAATGGAGTAAGAAATTTTATACCTTACAGCTCTAAATTTTTCGACTTTTATTAAATGAAATTTTATTATTTTATTTAATAAAAGTTGAAAAATCGTGTGCAAATATTAAATGTTTACTAAATTTTATTTTCAGCGTGGAAGTTCCTCTGGATAAAAAAACTTTATAATCGTATGCAAAAATGTTTAAATTCGTTTCTCGAGATATGGCAAAATATGCAAAAAGTAAAATTAACTTTAAGGGGTCCAAACTTCGGATCGCTCTGACCAATCTATGGAGACCATATTTCCCAGAGTGCGGCTGCCACCATAATTTGTTGGTCAGAAATCTGGATCGGGTGAAGAAACAAAAAGGCATGTTTATTCAGAGAAAGTATGTTTTTGTATCTGATTTCGTAACTTAAAATATCATCTGCACTAATTAATTAGCATATTGGAAATCACCCACACAAACCAATAAGATTGAATCCTAAAACATGACGATTCCATCATTAGATCAAAGGTTATTCAGGGTGGTCCGTTTTTTTTAGTGCACTTCACATATATAAAGTACATACCTATGTAAAACAAAGAGTATGTATAAAATTATTTTATTGCTATTGTGATGATATTGAGAAATGACTTGAGAATTATTATAAGGAAAATTAATTCTACATACCCTCTTGTAAGGAAGCTGTGGCTATTCCAAAGAGCAGAAATAAGGCTAAAATCTTCATATTTCTGAAAATTAGAAAAAAAATAGAGTACAGTGTATTTTATTTATATGAATAAGATTAATGAGAGGAGGATTTTTTAAACAAAAACAAGTTCAGCTATATCGAATATTAAATATTTTCAATTGAATTATTTTTCGGACTATTTTATTTATTTTTTAGGCATTTGTTTGGAGTTTAAAACTAACTTTTTCCTATAAATAAACTAAAACAATTACCTAGTTAAAAAAATTTATTCTTTTTTAAAAAAATTTCTTTTACTTATTAATTTAAGGCTTTTCATTTGGTGATCCAGTGATATTATATTTGGGTGATATTTGTCCACCTATTAATTATCTGCTAAGAGAACTAATTGTCTTCCGGCTAAATCACGACTAACTGACTTTTAAACTACTACACTTCAAAAAAAAAATTTTTTTTTTTGGAAAATTAATGCTGAAACCACCATGAATAGCGTAGATATAAGAAAAGCAGCGTTTTGAAAAAAATAACAACACTCCTTTTCAAACAAAAGGGGAAATAATTAAACCCATCAAACATAGTAAGAAATAAATTAATCAAAAAGTTAGTTTATAAATTTCAGTTACCTATTTTCTCACTCCCTATTTTTAATGTAGTTAAATTTATTAACTTCTAATAAATTACTTTAAAATATGCATTACTTTCCTCTTTGAGTTTAAACTGTTTAGATTCGTTTTGATTCATTATTGCTATCAATTTTAGTTTATAATTGCTATCAATTGAAGACATAAATATTTTAATTTATGTTTTAGGACGTAATTAATTGATTTTGGTGTCAAGTAATAGTATTAACTGATAATCTAGCTTAATCACTACTATTTATTTCTCAAATTGGTACTCGAAACTATTCCAATTTGTTATTTCGAAAGTAACGAAAGATTAGATAATTTCATCATTAGCCCCGTTTTCTCATCTTTTTTACAGCAATTATTCCCTATTGGACATAAAAAGAGATTTTAAAAAAAAAGAACGAAATAAATTGTACTCTTTAAATTTATTTCCCGTTTCGATTTCTGCGTTAAAAATTTCATTTTCTAAACACGTGTAGTTACATAATTATCTGCAGTATTTATTTTTTCCTTGAAAAAAATTGCGTGCATTGAAAAACAACAATTTAATTTATTTGCGTGTGAGAAAGAGAATTTTTATTTCACTGTACAATTTATTTATTTATTTATTAAGTACAAGTTATAAGTACAGTTCATTATATTATTTCATAGGTACAATTTATTTCGTTTTATAAGTACATGTTATTTATTATTTTGTTATTTCATAGTACAATTAATTATTAAAAAAGATTAATTTCATAATTCTTCTAAACTAAACTAACTAAATTTAATTCAAGAAACAAAAAAATTTTATTAGAGTATGGTATTTATACACTGCGAAGAAAATTCATAAAAACGATTAATTTGACCAGAATATGGTCCAAATGGTACCAAATATATGTGTATACATGACCAAAACTACCAGAATATAGTACAATTTACCATATTTCTAGCTCTACCGGAGCACCAAATATCTGGGTAATTTTTACCGAAGTGCTTTGGTAATGGTTTTGGTAAAACTAACAATAAAATATAGTTTTATAATGTATGATAAAGTTTGGTAAATTGATTATAATTAATTTTATTGTAATTTATTAGAATTGAATTATAAGTAACTTTTCATGATATTTTACAGCATGACAGAAAAACCATTTATTTGTTAAAGCTACTTTTAGGTTTCGTATTATTTACTAAATTACAAAATTTTCAGTAAATCCTTAACATATGAGGTGGGAAATTACCTGATAAATGGTTTACTAAATACCGTATATTTTAGTTATTACTACAAGAATTATGTTTCTTTGTTTTTTTATCAAAAATGTCATTGCCATAGAGTACGGTAGTTTTGCCAGAGTTTTTTTCTTATTCTACAATATATAGTTAACAAATAACATAAATAAGTTTAATGTTCTGTACTACATATACTGTAATATTTTCTGAATAAATTACAGATTAAACTGAGTTTATAATGATCATTCCCGAAATGAAAATTAACTATCTTGTTAATTAACAAATAAAGGTTGCTTTATAATTAAAATAAAATCAAATACAGAAATGTGTTAAATTTTTCCCCCTGAAAATAAATTGTACTTACGATTGCACTTGTGAATCGAAAAGAAAAAATCCTTCTGTTCGAGATATTTATATTTTCAACTGATAATCACAAACGTCAAAGATAGTTATCAGTGCAACCGTTTTCATAATAATTCCAATAAGACACACATAATATTTATCTCTGGATAAATATGTTGTTTCCCAATCCTTACTGATCCGCAGGTGGTAATTTTCCCAAAAAATATAAAACCTTTCAGTAAGCCCTTGAGATAAAATTTTGATCTATATGAAGAGCAAAACAAAAACAATTGTGTGTTTAATACGTATGTGGAACTTGATTTCATGTCTTAGACTGTGGACTCTTGAAATTGAAAATTTAACCACATGAATAACCGGCAGCTATATGCTTACCCAATTCACCATAAAATTTATGGTTAGGAACATTTCTTTATTTTTACGGGTTTTAAACCAATTATAAATGGAATAGTTTAAAAGTCATGCACCATATGCAACTATCATGGTTGAAATGGAATAGTAAAAATGGAATGCAACTGGACAGTTGTAGAAATACATGTTATTGAACCACCGATAGATGGCGGAGTTTATCATTAGATTGTAACCGTAACTGCAAACTAAGATTTTGTAAAAAAGCAAGCACATCACATTGTAATGTAGTAGTAGAAAGGTCTACCATTGTACCGTATTGTTCATGTTAACGATTTAAATATATTTTTGTTACTTACCCCTTGGTAATTATTGAGTAGTTTTCCTGTGCCATCAAGAAAACGAGAAAAAGGTTATATTCACTAATAATAGTAATAAATCTTCGGTGTATTTACCCTATTAGAATTGCTTTAAGTTGAAAAGCGAAAACAGTGGAGTTAGGTAATGATAGGTTTTTAGTTAGGTAATGAACATATGAGTTAGGCTGTGGGTAAATTGCGTTTTCTCGAGTGAATCATGGGCTTAATTAGTTAATCCAATTACGTCCTCTATAACGAAATATGGGAAACACTAGACTTAAGCAACTCTGTGGTGTTTCCATGTATGCGTTAATAAAAGTTTCGTATTCCATTAGTCTACAGTCTCTAATCGGGCAATACCTGACACTGGAAACTCTTCAAGTGTTGAAAGAGTGGAAGAAATATTGTGTTGTCAAAGCTGTCGTTCGAACAAAGCTGTGTTTTTTTTTTTTTTAAAGTGTGGATTTTTAAAAAAAAATTATTAATAATTTCGGAGTAATAATGTAAGTTACATTCAATAATAATGTAAGTTGCGACGTTAAAATTAGAAAAACTTTCCGTCTTAACTAAACTTTTTAAAATCAGATTTTCATACATTGTGTTCACTAAAACATATTTTTTAAAAAATCATTCCATGGAAGGAATCAAAAAAGTCCTTATATCTTTCTTTGCACAAAACCATCCCAATTACCATATGAAAGAAAATGAAAACATATATAAACTTTTTAAACTTTTTATTTCTTCATAAATCTACAGCTGAAATTAAACCATTTAAAAATAAAATTAGAACTAAATCAAAATTTTTACCATGCTTTAAAATTATATTTAAATTATCAAAGTACAACTTGAAGTTGAAAAATATCCAATCAATAGTTTGTTTGATGCATATATCCCGATTCAAATAAACAGATCTTCGAATCCTAATTTTAGACAAAATTACTTGTTTTAAATAATTAAACTTAATCTTTAAACAACTTAAATAATCAATTATTAATCATAACGAGATGCACACTTAACTAATATCAAACATATTTTATTAAAACCAGGGCCTGATTATCGCCTAGGCCCAATTGGCACAGGCCTAGGGCCCACACTTTCTGGGGGCCTCAAAAATTAGTTAAAGGACCACAATATTACTTTTTTTAAATACTGAAAGAAACATTTTTTGTCGAAAAAGTCATTTTTTTAACTTAAAATTTTCTTTATTGTGATAAACCAAACTCGTGTAAGCATTGCCCTTATCAAATTCGAAAGAACAACTGAATTTTAATTGGTGCAATTTTTACTCCAACTGCTTAAGCAAATACAACGAGAATGCATATTCGCAAAGTCTCTTATAAATTATTAGTGTCAACAAGAACTAAAAGCTTATTCTTAACAAATATGTAAAGCTGTAGATGGAAGGCTACAATCTTTAAAATAATTCAGCTAATCAGTGACTTTTAGCAAAAATCACTGATTTCACTTGTTTGTGGCTACTAAACTATTTTTCTTTTCACACAATATCTTATATTTTGCTTTAATATTTAGATGCGTAAACTTTATCTTAGAAAAATAATCTTCAATTGTCTGCTTTCAAAATTATTTAGAACGTTGAATCATGCAGTTCAATAGATTCTTTTCATCGTTAGGACTACTCTTCAGAAATTTAATTTCAAAATATTTTGTTAGGGGCCCGGTAAATTTTGAGGGCCTTGGGCCTGAATTTGTCTTGATCGGTCCCGGATTAAAACACACTTGTTACTCGTGGTTTTTAAACTTACTTACTTTTCAATAGCATAGATCAATATAATTATCACAGTTTTTCAAACATCAATCGAAACATATAACGTATCGTAACAGAAAAATTGTTCGTCGAATATTCACATCAGGTGCAGTTCTTTCAAACACGTGTGCTAGTTATTATTTAAAAGTGACGTTATTTTACTATGTTTATACCATTTTTTAAATCACCACAATTTTTCGAACATTAACCATAATACGTATAGACAGTGAGTAAATTAATGCATATTAGATCAATAACCTAGTAAATTAAGACAATTTCATTAAAAGATAAAAAAAAATTGAACCAATTACATTTAAGTTGTAAAATTAAACTAAAATTATGCCTTACATTCGCTTAAAAAATGTTTTTTATTATATAAAATAGCTTTGTTAATTCGAAAGTTCGATTCGATCCAATGCTCAACAATTCATTTTATCAGGAAATGAGCAACACGCAATTAATATGAATACTATAAACACTATTAAAGTAAAGTGTATAAATGACAACATTAAACTAAATTTAAAATGATTTTTCCCCATGTATTTCCATGTAAATGTATCAAACTATCTTGTCAATTAACAGATAAAGGTTGTTATAAAAATTAAAATGCAATCAAATACAAAAATGTGAAAAAAAGTTTTACGTAATTCAACTATGCAACTTATACGTTATTGATGGGTTTTTTTTTTAATCATCACAATTTTTCGAACATTAACCATAACATGTGTGAATAATGAGTAAATTAATGCACATTAGATCAATAATGTAGTAAATTATGACAATTTCATTAAAAAATAAAAAATAAATAAACTAATTACATTTAAGTTGTACAATTAAACTAAAGTTCTCCCATACATTTGCTTAAAAATGTTTTTATTACATAAAATAGTTTTCTTAATTTGAAAGTTCGAATTGATCCAAATATTCAACAATTCATTTTATCAAGAAATAAACAAAACGCAATTAATATCAATACTGTAACTACGATTAAAGTAAATTGTATGAACAAAAATTCACTTGGTGCAACTAATGCGGCTATGGAACTAATACATGCAGTTATCGATACTTTTTTAATCATCACAATTTTTCGAACATTAATCATAACATGCGTGAATAATGAGTAAATCAATCCATCTTAGATCAATAATCTAGCAAACTAAGACATCTTCATTAAAAAAAAAATCAAAATAATTGCATATAAGTTGCAAAATTAAACTAAAATTATCCTTTACATTCGCTTAAAAATATTTTTACTATATAAAATAGTTTTCTTACTTCAAAAATTTAATCGAAGATCCAAACGTTCAACGATTCATTTTATCAAGAAATGTGCAACATGCAAGTAATATCAGTGCCATAAACACTGTTAAAGTAAATGGCATAAGCAAAAATTCACTTACGAAAATATTGCATTAGCCAAGAACAATGGCATGTCTTTAAAAATAACTCATCCATCTAATTATCTATCGATAAAATTCACTTTTAATAAAAACATGTTGATAGACACGGTCAATTTTTAGAGCATCATGCTGTTCACTCGTTTCCTCTTAATGTAAAACAATTCTCCTTCCTTCAACAAAGAATCTTCAAATTACAAAAAAAAAAAAAAANAAAAAAAAAAAAAAAAAAAAAAAAAAAAAAAAAAAAAAAAGAAGAAGAAAGTTACGGCATCTTTTTATAGAACCGGAGGCCAAAGAGTGATTGTCCCGACAACAACAATTACCCTTCTGCAGAGGAAAGAGAGCTCCTGATTCTGCATTTCAAACTTGTAACAAAACCTAAAGGGTGCATCATACGAGAAAAAATGTTCCTTTTTATCAATTTTTATTGTAAGTTTATTCCTTAATTACATCCTTAACCCTTTGATGAAGAATTTTTAGTAAACATATTTTTTATTATTTTGTAATTTAAGTCAAAATAAGTAAAAAAATATTATATTTAGAATTTTAATAATTCATTGTTATGAAATACATTCTTGAAGCATCAGTGTATTTTTGCGTTAGTGGTAAAATCTTCCAAACACAGCACACTTCCAAATAATAATTTTTCAAATTTGCACTTATTTGCAGTTATTAAGATCTAAAAGAAAGAGTTATTTATTATTGAATTTTTTTTAATTTTCAAAATCAAATGTTGATAAATTTTTGAATACGAATGAGAAAAAAAATTAAAGCTAATTTTTTATATTATATTTTAGAACAAATATAATTCCAATAATCTAACACAGTGTTTCCCAAACTTATGACTTTTGCCTACCCTTTCTAAATTTTTCGTAGCGCTGTGTACCACTAATAAAAAAAATGAATGTATTTTTTACTATAAAAAAGTTCCCCAAAAGTTAAAAAACGCATCTGGCTGTTAGCCCCACTAATTACTAACTGTTAACTCTGCAAAAAATAACCAATAGAAAAATACTTAATCGTAAATTTGTTTTGTTCTTTCTAGCTTTGTTTTTAAAGGAAAAGTTTTGAGATTTTCGTTTATTTCAAGATATTTCGCGTAAAAACGCGCATCCCCGATAAACTGTTCCCGTACCCCTGGGGGTACGCGTACCACACTTTAGGAAACACTGATCCAACAGATTTTTTTAATAACTATAAGACTGTTTTTATTTATAACTGAAAAGTACCAAGATATATTTTTGCTTGTAATTAGAGCGTCAGAAAAAATATATATAAAGGAGACACCGGTGTCCCATCTGCTTCAAAGGGTTAACAGAGTCCGGGACACTTTTTTTGCTTCTACCGTTGTACCATTTAACAATTTTGTAAAATGTGTTCATCTAAACATCGGAAAACAAATCCCAAATCATTCAAATTTTTTTGAACTGGATCCGCAATAAACAAAAAATTACTTAATTACTTGATTAAAAACTTCATTCGCTTAAAAAATATACCAATTGGAAATAACAGTCGACATATTTCAAGCGCTCAAAAATAGGCACACATTTTCAAGAAACTGAGCTACTTGAAATGTGTCGATTGTTATTTTTAACTTGCATATTTTTCAAGCGAGTCAAGTTTTTAATCAATATCTTACAGCTTCAGTTTCATGGGGTTGTTATTTAATAAAAAAATTACTTTGTTCAAATTACAGTTCAGAAATTTATTGAGCTGGGGAAGGAAACAGATCCTTGATTGGACCTAAAAATAACCACTCACCACACGCCCCGTAGCGAGTCAACAAGAAAAAATGGCGACTTAAATTATGTAAACAACCAGTCACTTTTTAAATCGCTACTTTTCTTTTTCTTTCTTTTTTTTCAAAATTGCTAAAAGATAAAATTACATTAATGCAGAAAGACTCTGGAAAACAGAATTTTCATTAAAATGTCCAAAGACTCCATTCATTTATAATAGAGAGATTCATGTGTAAAGAGAGTTCTTCTATCAATTCAAATATTTTAAAAGTGCAACGTATACATTAAATGAATTTTATCTCCCTAAATATTTTTAAATTAAGTTCTTTAAAGTCAGTATGTTCAAATAAATTTTGTCTCATATTTATATTATTTTTATTATTGAATTAGTTTTTAAATGCCGTAGATTATTTCTCATGCGATTTTTTTTAAATATAATTTAATCCAAGCAACAACCAAAAATTTACAAAAGTGACTATTAAATGAAAAAGGGCCTATCGATATCAGGTTACTTAGTTATTTGAGTCTACCAGCATTGGCTACTAACTGAAAATTTAAATTTTCAAGTCTAACTTTGATCTTGAATAATAAGATCTGGTTACAATGATTCTGGACGGATGAATCCACATAAAAAAGGAAAACGCATGAATCAAATAGTGCTAATTTAATTAAAAATTTCCTTTTTTATTGACATTCAGCACATCACCCTACCATGTCCAAACACTTAGTCCCATTATTAAGGCTCTGTTTTTTAATGGCCGTGATAGAAATGCCCCTTAATTTTGGCCACGGTCGAATGACGTGAAATCTCTGTACTCTCTCTCCGGACTGCAACACCGAAACAAACGGGAGTATAGTGCAGCTTTGAGGAGAACTCTTCCAGACTGACAGTCTGGGACTGTCTGCTGCTATGGTAATAAGCGAGAGCTCATTTCTAATAGGGGTGAAATGGAGGAAAGAAGGTGTTGATTGGTTTACTCACGACGACCTACGCTAAGATTAAGACTAAACTATTCATCCCACACCCCTATCCGAAGTGACCTTTCCTCGTAACCATAGTACCCGCCACGACGCGAGACGGGTGTCTGGGGGAGTTCTCTTGAAAGCCGCACTATACTACGCACGACAAATTTAACATGCACCTTGCTTTGCTGCGCATATACACGCTGGTCGTTTTTTCGGCTGACAGGCTCGAAATCACTACCCCCAGCTCTCAAACTAGTGATGTGTGCGACGCCTTAATCGATTACGCCTCCAGAGCGCCTGGGCATGCTTCATGAAAAATGATAAAAACTAGTATTAATATAGATAAAGAACGAATTTCTAGACGTAATATTCTAACATTAAAAAAAAAGTTATAATGTCGAATGCTAATGCAACAAAATATAGACGAAAGAAAATTAAGTGACTGCCCAATTTCTTTAAAGTAAAACATGAGAAGTATCTATAAGAAAAGGGAAGGAAAAAAAACAAATGATTATAGTTAACAAAAGTAACAATTTAATATTAAAAACACGTGATTTTAGTTAACAAAAGTAACAATTTAATATTAAAAACATTTAAAACTTACAAAAACCACACAACTTAGAAAAATAACTATTCTTATAAAAGCGTTAATACCTTAATTTTGTGGACAAAATAACTGATACTGTATAACCCATTCATGTATATTTAAGTATTACACTTGTATTATGTGTATAATTATGCACTATGTATAATAATTTTTATAATAACAATGTATGTACTAAAACAATTTTACTTGAATTTCTTATAATTTTTTTTTTAAGGACAAGAAGTTCCTGTTCGAAATTATAAGTCAAATATAGTTCGAAACAGCTCAAACTTTATATCTAAATGTTTTTACCACAAGAATTTCTTCAAACTAAAATAGACTTTTTTTCTGATGATTTCCCATGCTTTGAGGGGAAAAAATTATTTTTAAAAAACAAAATTTCTTAAGGGAAACAAATTTTTAACGTAATAAATATAAACTACTTAAGAAAACTTTTTAAACTGATACCTTTAAAAGAATTTTACTGTTGCAATAAGAACCAATGCTAGCGCACTATATCGGGATTTCATAGTGTTCCCTCAATATACATTTTTAATAAAAGCTTTGTAAAAAATAACGAAAAAAAGGAACATTACTAAAATTTATTACTACATTAGGGTTCATTACTATATTAGAAATCATTGCTATATTAGTTCACACTAATATTACAATGAGAAAAAAAAGCGTTTCTACTCATCGCTGTTATTATTAAGGTCAAAAAGAGCAAAGAAGAAATTAAAATCATCTAAATCACCTTATTTCATAATTAGAAGCTTAAAGGCGGTACCTAGTTGCATTCGAGTCACACTGGACAAATGAACTGGTTTTCGACACTCCTCCCTACCTCAATAGTGATGGGTCAGAGTTCATTAACATTCTTATTTTCTTATCATTTATGTATTAATTAATTTGCAATCCGTAATGTCTTTACTTCATATTTTGCAAGGATACTAAATATATAAATATTAAGGGTGGTTGCTATGGAACACTCTGAAGTGATCACTTCATTGTTCTAAGCTATGCAAAACAGAAGATGAGTTCTATCTTTTATTATCGTAGGAACACTGGAGTTTACTGTTTAAAAAATACAATTGAAAATTAGAGAAAGAGCATGCATAAATTCGCTCAAATATATCAAAAAAAAATTTTTTGTCGTGTTTATGACATAGCAGAATCAAATGTTTCCATGCGTTTTGATTACTGCTTCTGCGATTTGCTTGATGTTATCGTCATAAATATCTATCAATGACGGCAAGACTCCTATTTCTCTCAGATTAGCACTCATTGCTGGACACTCAAAGATGTGGCATGGTGTCAGCTGCGTATCTGGGCAGTTCCCACAATTCCTATATACTTTCCTGCCCTCTCCGTCGATCTTCATGCCTCTGTGGTGGTTGGTTCTCAACCCGGCTATATATATATATATATATATATTTTTTTTTTGTGCNAACAATTACTGTGGATATATATATATATATATATATTAATTCTGTTTCATTGTTCATTTAGTTGAGTGTGACTGGCTTGATCCGAAATTTTTTTATAGAATTATTAAACATTTAAATCAAAGGACATGAATTACAATATTATTAGATAAACAATTACTAAGATTACCTATGAACACTTATTAGTTTTTTCCCCTACCCAATGCCCCCTTTTTTGACATTATATTTAAAAAAATTTCAAACAAAAACTTTTTCAAGACTCGTAGCAAGTCTTGAGAATCGACCCAGATTCTTGAGCACACGAAACATGTCAACTTTTATTGCAACTTCACATGTATGTCACTTCAAGTATATCTTTCCACTTCAATTTCTTGGAATAATTCATTTAACTTAATTAATTAATAAAGGTGCATATCTCACGCTAATTTTTTGTTTCTAAACTATTCGGACGTAAGTTTCACTCTGAAGAATTTCATTTTTGATGTACCGTAATATGAAATTTTATAAATTTACTTAGTTATTTAATTATGTTGTGGACACACATCTATCTCTGGTTGTACAATAGTTAACGCAAGAGCCTTATACCACCTCTCACATTCTTTTATGATACATTCAAACTGACAAGCTCTTGCGGAATGTTAATACAAGGCGAAATTTATTTGTAACGTTGATTGTTAAGTTGGTGATCTAGTTCAGCGTTGAATTGTATTACTGAACATGATTAGATAAATGCAGTTGGCAACAACCATCTCAAGGACATACTCCAAGGGCGTGTTTGTTTTGGTTTTGGAATGTCTGCGGTAGATTGAGAAAAGACATAATTTGCCGCAATGTCTGTAAAAAAGATGAAATGTATTTATAAAGAAGTTGTTGGAACATTGACACCAAAATATATCATCGAAAACAATGTATATATATTATATTTATATCCTCTTTTTTTATTTTATTTTTTAACTATATCTGCTATGTGTTTGTTTATTGATCGGTTCATCCGCATAACTTCATATTGTGAACATTATAATGACGCATATTTTATTTAATCTCTAATTTTAAATCCATTTGTAAAATCTCTATTTTACACCCATTTAGTCACATTTTAAGAAGAGAGTTAAAAACCAAATAAAGTAATAATTGGAGAATCGGTGATTGATTTGAAGAAAACTTTTGCGCAATTTTAAAACTAAATGTTTATCTATGTAATGTTTTTCTGCATATTATACAGTAATAATTCAAGCTATATGCTAGCGTTTTAAAATTTTATCAACATTTTCAAACGAATTTATTATAAGCAAAATTACAGCTTTTTGGAATTTTCTTGCTATTTAAAAGCATTTATAATACACGTGCATTTTTAAATTAAAATTAGTTAAATGAAAATATGTCACTTGTTTCAAAATTAAATTAACTCTAATTAAATAACTAATCAAAATTAAATAACAGGAATTCTGAAGTTTTATAGAGTCTATAAAACTTCAGAATTCCTGTTATTTAACCAAAACAATGCAATGCTTACATTGTTCTATATGTATACTGTTTTAAAATTAGTAAAATCTCGAAGTAGAGTGTAGGGAAGACTTCTGTATTGGTACTTGAAAATATTTATGAAAATTTCCAATTGCCAAGGTGATAACAAGGGGGAGATTTCCGTATCCTGATCTGTGGCAGAATAATCGCCAAGTATTGGCAACTTCTGGGCAGCGGCCCGTGAGAAACTGAAAAAAACATCACAGAAAAGGACCAACTCGAAATGTATAACTTGTAGGGAGAGATTTCCATATCGTGATCTGTGGCAGAATTGGCCCCAAGTCTTGGAACCTTCCGGGTAGTGGCCAGCTAGAAACTTTAAAAAAAAACATCACAGAAAGGAACCAACTCAAAAGGTATAACTTCTAGCTATCCCTGAGCAAACATCTGCATGTTTTTTTTTTTTTTTTTTTTAGAAATTGCAAGTTTAAAATCTATTTGGCACCTTGGCGATTGTAGTTGGCGCGACAGATCACGATACAGAAATATCCCCCTAACAATATTTTAAATAAGAAAAGCATGTAGATACGAGTTATACCCTTTGAATTGGTTCACTTTTGCAATTTTTTTTTCCTTTTTGGTGCTTTTCTATTTCTTTTTTTTAATAAGTGATTAAGCCGAAATTGCATGTACAGGTGAAATGAAAAAGTGTCATTTGTTTGTAGTTTCTGGTAGACCACTGTATGAAAGTTGCTAAAATAATTGCCAAATTTTTATATTGGTACTGGTATGGAAAGCTCCCCTTGCACCTGCACTTACATGTTCACCATAGCATTGGTGCATAACAAACTAAAAAACAGACTGCAAACTTAAAAGGCGAAGCTTATAGCTACTTTTAGAAAAGACTCTAAATATGTTTAATTTATTCCAAGTGTAAGAATCAAGTAGTTACTGTTAACAATTACAATTGGTGCAAACAGATACTGATATGAAAAACCCAATAAATTTTTAAATAATATAAGTTGGCTTATTGCAAGATAAGTCTAGCTTCAAAAATTACTGCCAGTAGCCAAAACAAATTTTAAGACTCAGTAGGTTTACATCAATCTCCTCTGTACTACTTACCACAAAGCAGATCTGTACTACTTGTTAGATTCATGTCTGGTTCTTGCTAATCAAAGCATGTAGCTGTATTGCCTGCCCTCAAAACTACAGTAAATTGAAGGGAAAAATACTTTGTATTATACCAAATCTCTCAATTATAAATGAATTGATTTAGAAAAATCAAAGATTTTAAGGAAAAGGAAAACTTTAACTATAACTTTAAATTAAATATTCTTCCATTTATACTATTTATATGCAAGTTAATTTCAATTATTTAAGAGAAATTGCTAAATTTTTTAATATCTACCTCCCTTATTGTTTTAAAATTGTCATTAAAGATTACAAAATTAAGTATTTTACAGATTGAATGGTTTAGAGGAAATTAGTAATTTTAAGAAAAAGATGGTTATAATCTTATAAAATAAAATTTTACTGTTTCTCTTATAGCTATTTATCTTCCCATTTTAAATTAAAGGGGGGAAAATTTTCATTATTGTTTCAAAATTGCTTGTTTTACATTATATCTCCTACTGTTTTAAAAGTTAGATTTAAAATAAAGGAAATGTTTTTTTTTTATGAATTTCCCTTAATGATCATATTTTAAAATTCAATCTTTCTGTATATTCCTTCTCTTTATTTTTAAAGCGTTATGAAATAATTCAATAGAAAATATTTTTTATGCATTTATAAGTAGCTTTTCTTCCTCTTTTTGTGAATTAATTTATTCAATACAATAATAGTGAAAAAAGATCATATACATATGTGTGTGTTGACATTAGTTTATTTTTGTTTCAAATATTTGTGCATTTGGTTAAATTTTTTTTCTTCTTTTCTTTCAGACTGATCTGCCCCCTTTAACACGGTATTCTGTATTAATTGAAGTTAAAGCATGTTCTCTTTCTGAGGTTGATATCAAGGTAATTGCTTTACATTCGATGACTGATATTTATTGTATAAATGCTTAATTTTATTTACTTAAAAATAAAAATTTTCCTTCATTGTAACAAATTTATTCTTTTAGAATTGATGAAACTGAAAGTGATCTTATGATCCTAATAACAGTGTATTTTCCAGACTATCTATAAAAATGAATTTTAAGATATTATTTATGTTTATAAAATATCTCTTGACTTTATTAGGTTAAATAATATTTTGAGATTTCTTTGTAATAAATTGATGTGTTTAATATTGACTATAAAAGTTTATGGTGCTTTGATTTCAAATTCTCAACTTAAGTTTTAATGTTATCGGTCACTTTAATGTAATGTATTTGCAATGTGTTAGTAAAATGAATTTAACAAACTTTAGAATTGAATCTGATATGGAGGTAGACAACAAAAAAATTATATTTTCCTTATTAACTTTTTGGGACTCTTATTTAAAGATTATGATTACTTTTCATATGTATTAAATAGTATGAATTTGTAAGTACCAAAAAATTAAAATTTTGTCATTATTTTTCTGTATTTATCAGCTATATTTTTCTTATTATCTGAAATAATTTTTAGGTATTTTCTCTAAAATTTATTATGTCTGTCAACTAAATAAATAGTTACAGGCAAAACATGCTATCAAATGCCCTAACTATAAATTAATATAATATTTTTAGTCAGTCCCTTAATAATTTGAATATGTTCCCACTTTTTTTCCATTTGTGAATGATTGTGCTTTTATTTGATAGCTGCACCAGATAAAGTACCTACTTAACGTTTTTTTTTTTTTTTTTTTTTTTTTTTTTTTTTTTTTTTTTGTAGCAATTCTAAAGAAATAAGTTTTTATTTAAAGCTGACTATATTTTATTAGCTGGCAATATTTTATCAGTTTGAAGTTTAAAAATATGTTCACATCAAGGAATCTAATTTAAAAAATTAGGTATAAAAATTTTAATTTTTATATTTAGGTTAAAGTAAAAGCATTGAAAGTTAAGAAATCATGTTTTTGAAAATGTGATACAATTCAAATTCATAAACTACAGATATCAATCATCATTAAAATGTGCAATTTGACTTAGAAATAGAATGTGTGTTCAAACTTTGTTTAAAATAAATTGAAGTAAAATTACATTTGTAGCAGATGCAATAATTGCCAATTATGTAATTAGTTGCAATATGATGTTATTTAATTCTCAATTATTTTTACTTATTTGTATTTTTCATCACTTGCAGACAATAAGAAATAGATTTTTATGACTGTATTATTTTCTATAGATAGATTTGAATGTGGGTATTGTATACAAGATTTAATTAAAATTGAGTTAGCATTAGATGCATTTAATAAATTGCCTATTAGTAGTATTCCTAGTTGTTAACTATTTGCAAACTTTGTATTCAAATTTTCTGCAATGAGGAATACAAAACCTTTTTCCTAAATGGCAATTGAGGAAAATTAGAATTGTGTTAACATTGAATACATTTCAACTCCCAATGATTTTTTTTTATCGATTGTTAACTTGATTTTTCAGTAGTGGAATAAAAATTACATTAATTTGTTTAAATTTTAGGACCAAGTGTATGCCTAATATTTCTGAATCAAAAAACGCTCTAAATTTTGTACAGTTTGTCTTCGAAAAAATTTTATTGTTTTTTACCATACCTAATTCAATAATTTTACCATACAAAATTTTATTGTTCATTACATCTTTAATTTTGAACTAAATATTCAAGTTTTATTTGTTTTCTATATGTTTGGGTTAAAGAAAACCTTCTTTTAAGAAAAAAATTTTTTTATTCTAAAAGCTTTTAGATTAAAACAGATCATATTTAGAATTATACACCTCAGTTAAATAATGAAAAAAATATTTATAAAATGCTTATATACAGTAGAACCCTGAATATCTAGCATCCAATCATTTAACATTTTGATTATCTGTCATCTCTTCTAATGTGCATTAAAAGTATTTTGACAAATGTTTCATTATTATTACTCAATTTAATACTTGCAACTCTATCAGAAGACGATCAATGATACCCAGACATGTGACCTATGATCTCAACGCCAGCTAATTGTATAAAAGCAAGATGGCTTGTTTAAGTTGAGCTAAGTTAGAATGTTAATTAGCATGAAGTTAATTAAGTACTACACTGTATCACACATCAAATTCGTTAAAATATATTTTCTTTTTCCTATATCTCTTACTTAACTAACTTAGATTGATTATTTGTTTATGTATCTTATTGTAACTGTGATATATTTTTGTTTTGTGTACATGGCAACTTCAATGAAGAATTAGTTTTTTTATGTTCTACGTGGCTTCGTATCTGGCTTTGTGTTAAGCAAGCATTATATAATAAAAGAATTGAAATGTTTGTGAATGAATCTTTATGATGGAATATAGAATGTGTCTCTTTAGAGAATTTATGCTTGACAGGCTTGGCTTACTCGAAATAAAATGGAAAGAACAGTTGCTAACGTAGACAAATGCCATGTTTCAACTACCAATCAGGATTGAGAGACCCACACTACGGCACTTGCGGGCATCCCATTACTATTTTGTGATCACCAATCCAAAAATCTGGCTGCTAGAAGACAAAATGTATCAATGATATTTTTTTTTACATACCTAGTTGTAATATTATTTATGATCCAAAAATAAAGTACAATTGTTTTTTTTTTTTTTAACTTTATTATAATGACTGCTTGTTTTGAGTAATGTTCCTCGTCAGTTTGATATTGATACACCCAAAAAAAAATGCCCTGCAAAATTCCTCAGATTATTCAGCATTCAGATAAGGTTATTCCTGAGGTTGTTAGATAACCAAGGTTCTACTGTATATAAGAAAAAACTATTCATAAAATATTTATCTATAAAAACCATTTATTTATTTTAAGTTGATGCAGTTAGTGAGCAGAGATACTTCTCCTACTCAATATAGTGTTGGTAAAGACGTTGCAGGGATTGTTCGTGAAATTGGGAATGCTGTTAGTACATTGAAAGTTGGTGACGAAGTTGTAGGTAATTAATTTTCTTTAATTTTTTTATCCTTTGAATAATCAATGTTTAGTAATTTTCTTGTTTCATAAACAGGATTAATTATGGAAGAGAAGGTTTTGTTTTCTTGAATCAACTATACAATGATTTCTTTGATCAAAAGTTCTTTAATGTCTGTTTTTCTGTGTAAATACACAAGTATTTGAAATGTCAGAAATTTTGCTATGTTAAGTTTGAATGTAGTCGGTCGTCAACGTTTTATTGTATGAATCATACTTTTTATGAACAATCGGAATCAAAAATTTTAAAACTGTTATCTATTGTGTAAAATTATGACACTTAAAAAAACTTTGATTTGTTACTTTTATTACTTGTTTGTTATTTTTATTATTTATTTGTTTGTTGCTTTTAAGGAAAAAAAAATTTTATTAGTTTTTTTTTTGTGCAAATAATTTAATTTGCTATTTAAGTTGTAATTTTCATAGCTGAGTTTTTTACAAAAATTTTTATTTAAATCTTTAAAGTAAATAAGTAATGATTAAGGAAATTTGCTTTTCTTTTCATGAAGTTTGGAACAATTATNATATATAAATATATATATATATAATCATTTTTAGATAATAAAGTAATTCAAAATATTTTTTAGCAAGCTTATACTGTACTCTTGTTCATGATGACTATTTTGAAAGAAAAAAAGCACTGTAAACTTCTCTAAAACAAAGCATTTTAAACTTAAAGCGAAGCAAAGTGACTAAACTTACGAATAACATGCCTCAGATTTTTTCATGTAACTTGTATGATTTTTCTAATCAGAATGCATTTGTATTGTGAATGTGTCATATTTTTGAGTTAAAAAATTAGTAATACTATGAATTAGGTAACATATTCCTGCAAAAGATACAAATTCTGCAAGACAAGAGAAGTATGACTAATACCAAACAAGCAATGAATTATTAACTGCATAATACATAAATATATGAATTTAAACCTAAGTCCAATGCTTGATATTTTTACAAAATTATTTAATATATTTGATAAATTTATGAACTAAATTAATGAAATAACTTAGTTTATAAACTGACTAAGCTTATAAATTAAAGTTATAAAATTTTTAATAAATTATAATTTTTTTTCATTATTTCAAATAGTAATATTTATATAGAATGTTATATTTGTTTTATGATGATAATTCACAAAAAATAAAGTTAGTCTTTCTTTTTTCTTCCCAGTTAGAAATTTAAATATGTTTGTGCATTTTTTGAAATCAATGTATTACTTTTATACATTTTTTAACCCATGGTAATTGTTTTTAGGTATCATTCCTTTGGATTATGGTTTTTCGGGATGTGCCGAATATGTAGTTTTACATGAATTCGATGTCAGTAAGTATTTTTAATCATCTATTTTCCTAAACCTCTAATGTATTTATATTTAGCAAATTGGAATCTGATAATATTCAATTTAAATATTCTCAGACTTGAATTTATTTTATTTTTAAGTAATTAATCTTGTTGTGATTTATCGTTTGCCTTTTTACTTATTTTCGCATTAATCTTTTAATTTTTATTTTAAAAATATTTTTATTATTTGTAATGTTAGACATTTGTATATATAAACTACATTTTTGCAAATTTTTTTTAAAAAGAATGATAATAATTCCCTCAAAGCTTTTAATTTTTACCTAACTTTATGATATAATAAAAAAATTATAAATAATAAAATATTTTAATGTTAATTGAAGTGCTTTTATGTCTTCTTTTTTTTTTCCTTCACACCAAGAGTGCTTATTTATTTTAAGAACATTTTTCTTAACTTCTGATGATATAATATAAAGATATGGTGGAATATAAATAATTACATAATAATTCTGATGATATAAAATGGTGTCAAATAAATTCTGTTTACATTTTATGTTTCTTTCTAATTACCCATCGACATTTTGTTTTGAAAGATTTTCCATAATTTTTCTGTTAACGTTTTCACACTCTTTTATTCTGGTATAATAAGATATTTTAACCTTTACTTTTAGGAATATAGGTTATATTTGAGATGAGACAAAAATGCAATGTAATAACATAACACTGTTGATAAATTTTTTTTAAAACTAACCTTTTAGAAAGACAAAACAAGTTTCCCTTTTAACTTTTATTTTGTTTAGTTTTTTTGCTTTGATATGATTTGATTGATTTTACTTTGATTTGATTTTACTTGATATGTTTAATAAATTTATTAAGCTGGTTACTAATATGTTCGAATATGTTATGATTTACTTTTTTTACAATAGTTTGCATAAAATTCATATTTAAATAATGTTTAATGCCAAACTCGAAAGTTTGAATAAAAACTAGTGAATTTTTTTACAAAATAATAATTTAAAATGTTTTTTTCTAAAAATTATAAACAATTTCTTTTAAACTTCTCAAATAATGTTCTCAAATTTTAACAAAATATTTTTAAAAAGTACTATTTGCTTGCATTTAAAAAGTACTATTTGCTTGCACCCTTCTTGGTTTAAATAGTTCTATCCAAAAAAGTTTTTGAATTGAACAACTGTTTGGTGTGTATATTTTTGTAAGGAAATGCCATTTTGATATTGTATATCTATATTTTTTAATTTCTTGACGATAAAAGAAAATTAATATAGTGTAAAAAATAATCCGAAAAATCAAAAGTATGGGCTACTAATTGTATTTAATTTATGCTTTTGTTGGTTTCTTTTAAATTTGTATTTGACTTGTTACATATTGTTTTTGGTTTATCTGCAAACTTAAAACTGGAACTTTAATTTTTGATGTCTTTCAAGGTAGGAAAAATTGTTCACTCTTTTTGTCTCCTGCACCATTTATTAAATTATCTGTAAACAATTGCAAAAAGTAATATTTTAAATAGGAGTAAATGTTTTTCTCTTGATTTGATGCATTCCGTGAATTATTCTCTATTACATGCATTCCGTGAACATTTAGAGTTTTAACCCACGAATTTCAGTTTATCTGTGTTTTAGATCTATAAAAGAATTAGCACTTCTTGTTTTATCTTTACATATTCTTATTAAATAATTTTAAGAATAGTAATAAAAAAAAATTAAATTTTGATGCAAGTTTCTGAAAACAAATAATGAAGTTGTATTTTATACCTTTTTTTTTAATTTCTAGCTAAAAAGCCTGAACAAGTGAGTTACGTAGATGCTGCTGCGTGTATTGGTGATGCTGTCCGTTCATATACTGCTCTTCACTACTTGGGCCGTTTGAGTCATGGGGACACTGTTCTGATTATGGATGGGGCTTCGGCGTTTGGTAGTCTGTGCATTCAGTTAGCTCATCACTGGGGTGCAAAAGTTAGTGGATTTCACTCTATAATTTGCGTTTTTATTACCTATTATAGAATTTTAATTTATAAGAAATGCGTGAAAATTGACTAATTCTGTATATATTTTCATTCTGTGGCTTATCTTTGATATTATTAGCTTTTCTGATGCTCTTGATGCTTGCAAAAATATATTTTGGTATTTTTTAATTATAAAAAAAAAACAGTTTAATTGTTACTAAAAAGAAATCTGGTATGTTATCGGAATTATGTTTGTAAAAAGTTCAAAAAAGGTAATTAAAAGTGTTTTTTTCTTTCAAACATTTCTATCTAACAAACATTTATCTGTCTATTTTGTAAATCAAAGAAATTTCAGTGATGAATATCTGTTTCTCTTAAATCTAAATGACTGCAGATTTGAAAAAATTTTTGTGTGGACGATTTTTTTCCCTTAACACAAAAGAAAAGAGAGTTTGTTTCATGCTGTATTTCATAACCATCAATTATTATATGCTAATTACAATATTTTTCACCTAAACTAATTAGAAAGAATGAAATAAAATTGAATTGAATAAAATTCTGCATCAAAAGGTCAGTCAAAGTCCTTATTTCCAACAAAAGCTGTATGAAGAGAATGGTTATGGAAATGGTTTTAATTAAAAGAAGTGTATGCTTTAGAGTAAAATATGTCAATGAATATTCAGTTATTAGGGTGATTGATATTTATTGTAACGAAGTTTGCCAGACAGGTTTTTTTTACATGGTTTTTTAGTTTGTTTACAGTGTCTTTTTTATGTTTTTTAATGTGTGCAATAAAACCTCTTTTTAATAAGAGGTTGATATATTTTTATTAGTTTCACTAGCATGTTGCTACAGTAGTCTCTTCTCACGCAATCTGCTGCAAGTCTGTTGTGTGCACTAAGAGGAGAGCACTCTTCCATGTTAAAAAAAAAAAAATATTTCTTTTAAATTTTTATTTCTAACAGTAAAAATAGTGTGACTCATCCTTGGAGGATTCTAAAATTCATAATTTTTTTTCCTAAATTTATTGTCGACCGGCATATTTGTTTTAAAAATTTATGTATCAGCTGTAATATAGGAAAAAATTAAACAAAGACATTGTTTATAAATTCGAAAAATATTATATTTATTATTTTGAATAGAGCAAAAAAAAATAATAATAATTCTAGCTTTAACTTAAAAGATAACATAACATGTAACTATAAAAATCAAACCCTTAAAATCTCACCTTGTGACAAACTTTGGCATCAATTTTCTTGATACTGTTTTTGTCTTTATTTAATATTTAATGTAAAAAAACATTTGATTCAGATTGGATTTTTCATTTACATGCCTTTGATATATCTATTTTCACTTACTATGCTCTAATCAGACTGAAGTTTATAGCATTTAGTTTATTTAAAAAAATTTCAATTGAAGTACAATAAATGATATGCTTTTAATTAACAAAAAAATTTAAAAATATTCTTTTCATTCCTATAAGAATTATTGAAATTAAGTTTTCTCAAAAATTGGGTATAAAGTGATTAAACTAAACTTATATTTTACTCTGTTGTTTAGCATAATAAATAAAATGTCTTCAATTATTTGTTTAGAATTATACAGGTTTAACTTGCAATTTTTAAATGCATCTTTAACATGCATTTAAAATTGCAAGGTGTATAACTGCATGAAGAATAGTTTTTTTTCCTCCCTATGTATAGAGGAAGTAGCTTCCTAACCACATTTAAACGTAACAGTTTAAATAAATAATTAAATATTCTCTTAAAATAATAAAATATTAATGCCAGCATATATTGTATACCTCTTTTAAATCACAAGCTGAATCTTTTAAATTTTAACTCCTCTTTTTTTAATCAAATGTTATGATAAAAAAAAAGTTAATCAATTTAAATAATTAACACATTGGGCATAATTTTTCAGAAAGGTATCACATCACAACTAAATAGGGATCAACGAAGAAGAAAAAAATTTTCATATACAAGAAACATTTTATATGATATAATCAAATACTTAAAGGTTTAATAATTTTTTGCATTCCCTAATTCAGATCTTACTTTTACAATCATAAATCTTGAATCTATGAATAGAAATACTAATTTAAGGAGTATTAAACAACTAGTCTCAAATAAGAAAACTAAATTACAATTTCAACAATTTACACATTCAGTTTGATGAATTTTTCATCTTAGTAAATAACAAATTGATTATTAACAAAACAACATTGATTATTAACAAATTGATTATTAACAAAAGAGCAAAACTTAATATATTATTAACCTTAAATATATTTATTTTTATAAAACCTAAAATAAAAATATAACCATTGAATTTTCAATAAAAATCATATTCGGGTATTTATGAATTTTGGATTTTTACCAGAAGTCTTAAAAATCCTGGTATTTTACATCGAATGCTAGCATGTTATCTTTCAGTTTTTCAATATTTCCAAAAATATAAAGAACCTTATCTTGTTTTATACACATTTTACCCTATTATAAACAAAGCAATTTGTCAAGAAATGAAGAATTATCCATATAATATGCCAAGTTTAGCTCATGGTGCAGTATTCTCATATAATATTCCTTCTCATACTTACTATTTAGGGTTGTAAAGAGAGTTTCATTTGCTAATTGCTTTAGTAATGTTAAAAATGATTTATAAATCAAAGTTAAGCGAAAACATAAATAGGACATTTTTGTGTAGTTTCTTAATATTTAAATCAAGTGAGCCAGTAGATGGAATCAAAATAAATTAAAACTATTTTATTTATACTTTTTAACTGGTTGGGTTAAGTTTTGTTCACTATCAGAAAAGAAATTTCGAAAATTTAATTTTTCTATCCACCCTATCAATATATATGTAGTAATAAATTGAAGAAGTAGAGCAGTTTTTTCCACCAATTATTGAGTTTTTTCCACCTATTATTATTAAGAAATGAGTTCGATAAATACAATTGTATTTCTTATGCTTCCCTTGAAAATCTAATGATTGAAATATTATGTTTTTAAGGTAATACTGATTTGTGATTTTGATGTCTTCAACTGTTGAACATTTAAAAAATATCAATCTCATTAGGTTCTTTATATTTCTTTTTTTATTAACTACAGGTCATTACAACTATCAGCTCGGAAGATGAAAAACTATACCTAGAAGGTCTGGATGACCAGCTGGCTTTGGTTATCGATCTCCGAAAAAAGAACAACCTGACGCCCTTCCATACATCAAGCTTCAGAAATGGCAACAGTGAAATGATATGGTCTGCCTGTATGGAAGAAACTGGTGGACTGGGTGTTGATCTCATTATTGATAATGGTGTCACCCTGTTTTCTGATAATGAATACAGGATCTTAACTAATGATAACTATTCTTATCCTATTCCAAGTAAACATGAAATAATATCTGCTCTTTCTGTTGGTGGAAGATGGATTACATCAAAAGAAAACTTACAGGTAAATTTCAGTTTTCATATCACAATATTAATTTTGAAGTTTGCAGAATTTCCAGTTACCCTATTTGTCCTATATTTTTTTAATATAAAGTTTCTCTTACTATAAGTTTTTTAGTGTTACTCATTTTCATAAACTATATTTTGTTTTCAATATTTGTTTGTTTGGTGGCTAAAAAAATAATCAAAGTAATACGATATTGAATAAAATATATTTTTATAACCATCTTTGAACAGCTGACCCAATTTTTGGGTTTATGACTTCTAATGTTAAACTATGTAGCCTTGTAATTTTTGAACCCAGTCCCGAAGGATCTGAATCTAGTATTGGGAGAAATTTGCCTTTGTTGAGAACTTTTTGGTGTAACTAACCTGCATTTGTGTTACATGGCGAAGAAGACCACAAGAACCACCCACTGTTAGCCTGACAACAAGGGGACCCATGATCCGCTGATGACATTTCACTTCAGAGCACCGTGGTATGTGCAAGCCGGATGCGGAATTTATATCGGCCAGCCATTCCTGGGATTCAAACCCAGTTCACCTCATTGGAAGGCAAATCGTTAGCCATCGCAGCTCAAATAAAATATACTATTTTCAAACAGGATTTTTTTTTTTTTTTTTACTGAAAACTTTTGTGTTCAAAACTTAAGAGTTTATGTTCTCTACTTTGTATTAGTGAATGCCTAGCTAAAATTACCAAGTTTTTAGGTTATATATTTTCATTATTTTGATAAAACCATATTTTCTTTTCAATCTGTTTTCATCTGTTTATTTAGTTGATAAAAAAAGATTTGAAATGAGATATTAAATATATGTAATTAAAAATAAATTATTTGTGTTTTTTTTTTTTTTTTTTTTTTTTTTTTTTTTTTTTAATAGTTTCATGAAATTTTAAGATATGGAATTGACTACTTTTCAATAAAATACTGTTCCGTTAAGTGTTATAATTATAGAAAAAAAGAGCTTAATTTTCTTTCAAACCTGGGTATTATACAAAATATAATAAATTTAAAAAAAATTTCTTTGTTCATAAGTTAAATAGAGCTAAGTAACATAATGACATAAAATTGTATATTCATATTTGTTAAACTTGGGTAACTTGATTTGGGATCTGTCCCTTAAAAAACTTTACTATATTTTGTAATAAAATATCCTATAATTTTTTTTGTGCCTTTGCTGCTAGGACTGAGTTTACCATTTTATGTTAATTCTTAATATAATCTGTAAAATATCAAAAATGAAAATACGAATCATGATTAATAGTGCTCAGAATTTCATAAAACGGAATTAGTGAGTGCCCACTTGTAATCCCATATTAAAATTTAAAATTTTCTACATTTCATTAGAATGTTTATCAAATCTAATTGTTTAATTTGAATAATTTTTGTGCCTTTTATTTTTGTAATGTGTGAAAGGAAAAATTCGTTGAATCTATTAAAAGTAAAATATCAATAATTTTGCCATAATGAAAACTTTATTTCATTTCTTAATTTTTAGGATGAGTGTACAAATGCTTAAAATAATTGAAACATATATACTTTATATTTGATTCTTTTTTAAAAATATTTTTTTTACCATGAAATTAACATTATTTCCTTGTGGAAAAGAAAACGTCTATAAGTGTATTTTATGTTTTATTTCTTGCTTAATTAATTTACTAGAAATACCCTTTATTGTTATTTTTCATTTTGTATTGAATTATGTAATTTATTTATGTGCACCCGTGAACTTAAATTAAAGAGACTCTAATTGTAATTAATGGAAGAATTTCTTTAAAGTTAGTTTTTTTACAATATTTTGAGATTTATTATAATGAATACAAATGACCTTAATAATAGAAAAAATATTCACTGATCATAGCTATCATTACTTATTATGTATTTTTACTTAAACAAAGATTTAAAAGAATCCTGTTTCATTGACTTAATGAAAAATTAATTTTAATTGTAAGCTTTACATCTCAGCCCTGTAATTATTACCTGTGCCTATTAGGTCAAGCTGAATGATCCTGTTGCTCACCATGGGTTCTGATGTGAACCTAAATGAGCTAGAAATTTTTTTTCTCCCAAAAATTAGTTGTGGAAAAATTTATTTCTTTAAAAAATATTCATTTCTTTAAAAAAATGTTTTGAAAGTTTGTTTTTAAAAGATAAATAATGTGTTTTAATCAGTAAATAGAATACTTAGTATTTGTGGTTGTACAGTTTTAAGGAGATGCAATTTTTCATTTTGTGGATTCTACTCAACCAAAATTGCATTGAAAATTTTACATTAAATATGCTTTTCTGACAGAGGTGCATTTTAAAATGTTATTGATGCAATTTCATTTAAATGCTGTAGAGCATTTCTTTTAACATGTTTTAATGTGTAAAAGAACTTTTAATATTTTTCTTAAAAAATTCTTATTTTAAATTGAAAAAAGTTTCTAAATTAAAAAATAAAAATTGATACTTTATTTCTCAAGTTCTAAATTTGCACTTGTGAAGCTTACTTTACATAAAAAAAAAATTATTTGTATAATTTCAGCTTGATCCATCCAATTCCAGACTTCTATTTTTAAAGTGTGCAAGCCTTGGTTTCTTATTTGAGCATGCCTGGACTCTATCATCAACTCAACAAGGACAATACCTACGTATCCTTATATTTAGCTGTTATTTTTTATTTACTGTTAACCAAGTTAAATTAATTTATAATAATTTTTCAAATATATGAGTTGGAAGGTTACTTGTTTGATATTCTTTAAAAATTATTAAGGTCGGGACAATTTTTTTTGCTATCATCACTTTAAATAATTAAATTATTTGTTCAAAGTTTCTTATAAACCTTACATTAGTGCATTACAATTATTGTTAGTTTATTCAAAGCAATTCTTTAACTCTATCAGATATTCTAATGGATATAATGGAAAAAGTTGCTGATGGTGTTATAAGGTAAAGTAATTAACTTTTTTTTATCTAATTTTTACTCCAAATGATTCGTTCTAAATAAGGTTGTAGTAATTAACCTAATGTTCTTATTAATTAAACAGTTTGTTTTTAATAGTGTAAGGTATTATTAACAATTACCTCTGCTTAAAAACTTTTTTAAGGCCTGAATTTTCTTCTGTCAAAGAGCTATGTTATATCTTGAGTCGCAGAGTGATTAGCAAGTGTTTTTTTCTCTTTTTGTCTAAATTATTGAACTATTTATTAAAATGTTTTGATAAAAATAGATAGCCACCAAATCATAACTAAGCATGCAGCCCTGTTTTTAAGGGCAAGGTTTCTTTCTTTTAAGAGTCTTGTTAGGAACCCACAAAATTTTGACCAATATCGGATGGCAGGGAAAGTGTCTGAGCTGGTACCCCTCTCTCCAAATTTCCACACAGCAACTTATAAAGGAACTTTCTTCCATGCATTTTGCTGACACTAGTTGCTTAGACTCTCCACCAGCAACCAGCAGTGTGAGCAGCGTACTGGCCGACTGTGCTATTGAAGCACTAAGATGGATTTACACTTTTAAGTTATTTTTATTAATTGGCTACAAATCATGGTTGAATTTCCTTGTCACTGTTTTTCTTAAATTTATATATAATCTATTGGGGTGAATATCTTATTGTTCTCTGAAGAATATCCTATCATTATTATATAAATTTGTAGATGATTAAGATAAAATTTTGATATTCCTTAAATTTGTGACAGTGAAGTCAATCCCTGTTCAAATATAAGTGATTAAATAATAGCAGTATTCAGTAATTTAATAATCGTTGTAACATGTTAATAAATATTGTGTCATTTGGAAAGAAATTTAATTTTTTTTTTTTTTTTACTAAAATGGGAGGCAATTTTCTTATAGTGAATAAATATTTTATTGACTCATATATTGTTCATTCAGGTCTAATAGCTTTTGCAATCTTTCTAGTAGTAGCATCATTCCAGATGCATAAAAGTTTTGTTCCCGGGTGATTTTTGACCTCCTTATTTTAAGTAAAGGTTTTACCAGCTAAAGAATTTTGTAGAGACCACAACATTGTTGTAGACAATTCATTTCTTGTTCCCTGTGATGATGTGCTTCAATTTTGGATAATTTTTCTTAGTTTTGAAAAACAAAACACAAGTGTCAATACAACGGCTTAAATTTCTTTCTGTAACAGCATGAGGTATCCATACGCTGAGGTTTAAGAATAAATTGTAGGCTTTATTGTAGGTTCATGAACGGTTGAGTTCGATAAAATTAATATCTCAGTGACCTCACAATTTCTTATTCACCGATTTTCATCAATGTCTTCATTGAATTATCAATAACTTAAACTTGCGTGGTGTAGCATCATACTACATCTTAATTGAAATTTTTCAAACCAGTTTTGACACTGGCTTACTGCCAATACATCTTTTTCATACACATTGAATTATTTTTTTTCTTGCTTGAGCAGATTTTTACCTCTTTGAATACAAAAAATAAAATATAACAACTGCGTAGAATCAATCAAATTTTTTAACAAGTAACCCTTGCTATATCAGATGTCAAAATATGTAATGATTATGCAGCTTAAGTCTGAAATTGACTGTGAAAAAAACATAATTAAGTCCCTTTATTTAGAAAAAACAAAATTACTTTCCAAACAACCCAATACTATTTAATATTTTTAAATTGCTAGTATGTATTTATTTTTATGTATTCCTATATTTATTTTTCTATATTCCTATATTTATTACACCTATATGAAAAAGATTTCAGTTTACACAATTTTACTTTTATCATATTTAAAAATGAGCTGAGAAAGCTGTAGAAGATTGTAACAATAAAATTATCATACACAAAAAAATTTATTGCACTGTGTACTGTACTTATTGATAAATTTTTAGTTATAGGATTTTATTTTTAGGCCCAATGTTTACCATACCGTCTCCTTTGATTCTGTGCCAGAAACTATGAAAAAATTGCCAAGTGTCCGTGTTGGGAAGATTGTCATGAAAATGGACTGATTGTTTTGGTGACTGCACATGCTAAAGTTTCAGGGATGTTAACTTATATGGATTTTCTGTAGTTTCTACTGAATTTAACTCCTATTACTAACCTTTTAAAAACTCTTAAAGAATCAAATTTTCAGTTTTCTTTCATCATTTTTTAGTAATTTTTTTTCTTTAAATTATCTCTTTTTCATTATACACTAGAAGATCTATATAACGCAGTTCTCTATAAATTTCATTTACTTTACTATCTCTAAAGTAATTTATTAGATTTCATTTCTAATGCTCTTGATTATTTCACTTTTTCTGTAAATAATACTCCATCAAATGAATATTTTTATATTAAAGTATTTTATTTAAAAAATTATTTTAAAATATTAATATCGATCTGCCTCAGATATCACCTTTTTCAGAATCTAAGTTTAATGATATGTGAAAGTATCTGTATAACACCAAATTCCATAAAATCCAATTCTTTGCGTCTCAATGCTTGTGTTATAAAGGTCTTCTTATCTTTCTTACAATATTGAGGCAAACTCTTATTTTTATTGAACTTATTTATTCATTTTGTAATTTAATTTTTGTTTTTCTATTTTTATAAATTCTGATTGCAAATCTCTATGCAATTAAATATATTAGAACTTCTAGTTATTGAAAAAATAACTTCTAGAATGTTGATGAAATGTTGCATTGCAATATTCTATGGAAAATTAATTCTATGAAAAAATTGCTCTATAAGTATGGAAAATCTTTATTTCTGGTTGGCATCCCTGTATTTCATTCATTGTTTTTAGAAAGCAAGCTCTACATTTGAAATGTAGCTCTTTTACTTTCAGATACAGTTTTGATCTCAACAGCATTCAGTATGTGTTTTAAATGCTAAATGTTCTGTCGATGCATATATTTATTTATAATTATTAAGTACTAATTTTAAAATTTTCATCTACCATATAATTATAATTTATTTACATTTAAATCAAATACATGGAGGTGCATCTTCTAATGCTGTTATTTACATTGAAATTGAGTCTATGAATGAGAGTCAATCTTCTACTGATGTTATTTACCTTGAAACTGAGAATATGAAGGTCTATCTTCTAATGATGTTGTTTATAATACTGAAATTGAGTATATGAAAGTTTATCTTCCTGTGACTATTACGAGACTAAGTACGTCATTAATAAAACTAGTCAAATATCTCCTAGTCAAGATTATTGAAATTCCTTTTTCTGTACACCTATTTGAAAGGGGAAAAAGCATGCTAAAATGAAATGCTTAAATTTAAATATATGACTTTTTTTAAGTATTAAAAGATGAAATTTTATTAGATAAAAATGCTAGTCATTTTTTATTAATAAAAATGTTGCTTTCCATATTATAATTTATAGGTGTTTAATTTTTTTCTTCTTTTTTAAGTAGAAAAATTTTAACATCATCCTAAGGTTTTATGGTGCTTAAAATGTCATTAGAATTGATTTCATGTTTCTTATTATACACATAGCCATATATATCATTAGTAATGTAATCATAAAATTTATTTTTTAATTGGTATGTATTACTCTTATTTTAAACAAGACATGTTATAATGCTGGACATTATTACAAAAATTGTTACATGAAATTATTGTACAGATTTTTAAAAATTTAGAATTTTAATTATATTCTACCATATAAAGTTCAAAAATACGCCCATTGAGAAAACTTAATTTTAATAAAATGGACATTTCAATATAGTGTTCATTTAAACAAATTATTATAAGCACAAATATCTATTGAACTCAAAAGGAATCTTGAAAATTAGAAATAGCATGTCTTCCGTAATAATATTCTGTTCTTGTTTTAGTTAAATTTAACTAAAAATATATATGCAGGTTGAATATTTTTGAAATTTTAACAAAATTAGTATATTGTATGAAAAATATGCTTGATATTTATTGTTTACTAAAATCTATTTAAATTGTTTATTTATTACATTTGATTATATCTTTCTTCTAGCAGCTCACTATACACACACTCATATATATCTAAATATAAAGATCCATACTACTTTTATGGAAGTATGATGATGTTTAAAACCATCTTAAAAATTTTAAAGCATCAAGTTCTCTTCTTTTTTTCTTTTTTGTTGTAAAATTGCAATAAGAAAAGTTTTTCTTGTTAAATTAGGATGCAATTTTATGTATACTTTCGCGTATAACGGTTTAAAGTGAGATTAATTTTATAAATATAGTTATAAAAGTTTACTTGAATTTCAGTTTTTAGGAAATGAAATTATGTTTTTAAATCTTTTTTTTTTCATATTAAGTTATATACTGAGGTATTTCTCCATTTAGTTATGAGCATAATTTTTTTCTAAATGCTCTTTCTCATTTAATAAATTAGAATTTTAATCTCTACTAATGCAGAATTTCAATTTTTTTATAGCACAGTTTTTTTATCTTTGATATAGCACTGTTATAATGTAAACTTTAGTTAATTAATGACTTACCCCTTTTGCACAGACCAGTGCTTAAATGTAACATCAAACTTAGATATTTCTCCTGAGTAACATGTGAGGGTCGCTCATCAAAATATGTGCCATGAAGTTAAATTAAGCCGCTATTCAGTACAAAGGAGGTAATTTTATTGAGCTACTACTGTTTGTTTTACTATTATTTTGAAAATATTTTTTAGATATAGAATTTGTGTGGTATTCTATACTTATGTATTATATTTTAATAGCTGTGTAGTTATAAATAAATAAAAACTCCCAAATTACCTTTTTTTCAGAATTTAGCATTAATGTTTTGCATGATTGCTATTTTACAGTAAAAGTGGTGAGGATAGGATCTAGTCCAAAAATTAAATATAAAGCCTGTTAAATTTCTTAATGTTTAATAAAACAGGAGAAATAAAATGCAGCACAATAAAATTTAACTTGAAACTAATTTATTTAAATATAGAAATATTTTTTTTTTATATGTAGTACAATAAAACGTTTATTAACTTTTCATTAAATATAATTATTTCTTAAAATTTCTGGTCTAATTGATTAAAATTAATAACATCACAACAAAAAAATCTTAAAACTTAGTGGCATAGACGTAATTTTTAGTAATTCTTAAAAAAATAACATGAAAGTTATAGTATCAGTTGTAGGTTTACATGTGTTATTTTTGAGCGTGATATGACTATCTTTAGATGCAGTTGTATTTTGTGTATTGTTGAGGCATAGCAATTAAAGGAATGAAAAGAAGTTGTTCCTGTTTAGAGTATACTTTAAAATTGTTTAATATATTTTAGTTATCAATAGTTTCTCATATTTTTTATTGTTATGATTATCGAGACATATAAGTGGATGTAAAATGTATTAGATAATTATAGGGGTTTTTTTTAAGAAAGACATGAGGATTTTGCCAAGAATAGTATTTGAGAATTATATATTATTATATTATTTATTTATAAATAGAAATTATTATTTAGAAATTTATATATTGATTTAAAATTATTATATTAAAGTTTAGATATTATTTTTAAAATATGAATTATGTGATGAAGACTTAAAAGTTCTACATCTACCATATGCTTTTTTGCATATAACATTGTGAATCGTTTGCATGCATTTTACAAGCTTCGTGATTTACAACTTATTTATATAATTATCATTCCAACTTATATACATATGAACTTCAAATTTATTGAAGTTTCTTTTTAATTGTGATATATTTCAAATTTATTTGAATCATATGACCAAATATTTTTTTTCTGATATTAATTTTTTATTCTTAATTCTTTTATCTTTCATTAATTTTAATCTTCATCCTTATATTTGTTTCTTTGTCTTATTTACTATCACTGTTTTATGTTGTCTATTGCAGTTCTTATTTGTATTATTTTTTAATAATTGTCTATATTTTTCTCCATTATAATTGAAATGTGTAAATTTTAACTACTTATTGAAGTATAAAAGTTTTGCCAAGGAGAAAAGTTTTTTACAGTCGAACATTGGAAATTTTTTCATAATATTTTTACTATCTTCATAAGAAAAATATTTAAAATTCATGTTTCATGTTTAATTAAAGGATATAAGAATAATTATAGAATACTAAATGGTATTGTGAAAATTCACCATTTCAATTTTTAAGCTAAAATTATCCCAAATGTATACTATAATTGATACTCTAAGTAGTTTAATAATCTGTCACATTCTGACAAAGGAAAAAACCATTAATACCAATTTAATTGAGTTCATTCAGCAATCAAATTTAAATGGGGGATGTGAAATATTCTTAGCTAACTATGAAAAAAATCTTAAAATATTTTGATTTTGTTCTAACAACATGATGTTTATAACTCTAAAAAATAGGCATGAATTTTAGCTTCAATGTCTACATAGAAGAAAAATCTCCCTTTTTTTTTTGTAAATGTTTGTCACAAGTTTGAAAATAAACAGAATAATTGACAAATAGAGTAATTGATATTAATAAAATTTTATTATATTCCCTTCTCTTCTCGTTATTCTTATCACACATAAATTACAAGTCAGATTTTTTTTTATTTAGACAATTTTTTTTTAAATCTTACAAAAAATATATAGATATATAAAGTTTTATAGTGATGATCATAAAGGTATTATGGTTTTCCATATGTCATGGATTGTACTTTCATAGCTTATCTTCTTGTATTAAAAATTATGGTGTGCCTCAAAAAAGTATTTGAATTTCTAAGTGAAGTATTAAGCAGGAAAAGCTGGAAAATAGTGAATAATAATAAAATAATATTAGTGTGTAAAAATTGTTGAAATATTAACTAAAAGAAAAATAAAACTTTCTCTTTATGAAGAACTATTTCCAATGTAAATCAAAAAAAACTTTACAATTATTTTAATGCCAAATTATACAATTATAGTAATAAAACTATAAAATAAGAATTTGCAATTAATTTAATTGTCATTGCATTGAATTAATTTTCTTTTATTCATAGATTTTTTTTCTATGTTTTGATAATAATATTATTGAAAAATTATTTCTAACTTTATAAATCTAAACATTTTACTTTCCTTGGCAAAATTGTTATTACTTTAATAATTGCTGTGCAAATGTTGCAAAACTGTGAATATGTGAAAATCCAGTGCACTTGTTGTTAATGATGATAAAGCTTGCTTTTTCAGTATTCTATTATTAATGTTGTGTATCATGCATTGTTAAGGACTCTTATTAAAAATTTATTTGCGATTTACCTTGCAATTTCTTACTAACCTGATCTCAAAAACATTTTTTTTTTCGTTCTTGGCAAACATATTTGAAATGAAAGAATGAAAAAATATTTGAAATGAAAGAAGATTTAGCTGTTTCTTCTAACAAGTAAAATGAGTGGCATTTTCACAACAGTAAAAACGCAATGAAAATTTTAGGTAAAATTTAAATTATGAAATCCTAAAAATTCTAGTTCAAATTTCATGTTTAGAAAAACACTTAATGTCTTAAAACATTCAAAAATATATATAAATAAAAAGAGCGAGTTTAAAAAGTACAAAATTTATAGTCTCTTCTTGTGATAATTATTACACTATTTTGGCCAGCTGAAATTTCTTTTAGTTTAAAGAAATCTAATTTTTCTTTTCAGCATTTAATATTTATTCCAGATTTTAATTTCAGCATTTTATTCATAATATTTAAATTAACGAACCTTCAATCATTACATGGAAAAACCACCAACTCCTCAAAAAAATTGGATTTTTTTTCCAGATTTTTTTTTTAAAGCCAGATTTTTTTAATTTTCCTTTCAAGTTCAACTTTCATCAACACTAAAGTACCGAAAACAAAATTTTAAATTTTGTAAGGAACAAAAACATTAACCTAACTGATAATTTGTTACATAAAAAATAGCTTTATTGAAAATTATTCCAGAATCTAAATTTACATTTAACTTGTTTAATATTTTTTATTGTATTCAGCTAATTTAAAAGGAAAAAATTCCCCCGGAATTTTGATATCATGAAAACGATTAAAGTTATCTTACTGCATACTACAGTATTTTGCCAATTTTGCAGTCACTTACCAATAAAAAAAAAAGGAAAAGAATGTACCAAAGGACTGCAGAAATTTTGCTTAAAATCTTTCAAATGTATTAAATAAAGCAAATTAAATAAAATTTTGAATCTTAAAGAGTAATTTCTGGAAGATAAAGTGCAACAATGCTGGAATGATTTAACTATTTTATTTTTACTATCACATTTTATTTAAAAATGCTTAAATCGTTTCATTCTCAGTTAAATAATAATTTTTAAGAAACATATCAGAATAATGTGTTAATGTTTGTTTGTTTTTCTTTGAAGTTATTCAGAAATAGTGAAAAAATATTTTTAAAAAAATTTCATTTTTAAGGGTTCAAATCTTTTTCTAATTTATTTTTAGTAAGATAGTGTTAATGTTTCATAATTTAAAATATTTAGTTTATATATATATGTATATAACCGTCGTTGAACAGCCGACCTAATTTTATGGGTTTACGACCACTTATGTTCAACTCCGTAGACTTGTAATTTTGAAGCCAATCCAGAAGACGAGGAAACTCCTGGATCGAGTATTGGGAGAAATTTGCCTTCGTGGAGGACTGTTTGATGGAGCTAACCCCCGCATTTGCGTTACATGGAGAGGAAGACCACGAGAACCTCCCACGGTTAGCTTAACGGCAAGGGGACTCTAACCCGTAATCCGTCTACCACTGAGGATATTTCACGTCAGCACTGTGGTCGGTGCAAGCCAGATGTGGAATTCGTATTGACTGGGATTTGAACCCGGTTCGCCTAAAATATTTAGTTTGTAAACAATAGTCATGACAAAAAATATTTCAAACAAAAAAATTTTTACTGGAGTTCTGCTCCTGATTACAATACAAGCTTTTAGGTGCCATCAACTGAGTTTACTTTGGCTACCGGGGTAACTTCGGCCATTCTCTAAAGGGAAAGAAAGAAACTTTAGGTGGCAAAGAGTAGTTAGTTCTGTAAAAAAAAAATCTGTGCTGTTCGTTGTTATATTGTCAAGACTGAGGCAGAATCACTTCCCTTAATAACAGTTTTCCAGCAGAAAAATATTTTCGAACGTGAGTGTTGAGCAAGCAATTTGAGTTACTTTGCAACTTTTATCCGTGAAGCCCATATCAATATTTGGTAAGTTTTTCGTATTACTTCAATTTTTGTTACATATGATATCCATTTGAGGGATATGATTGTGAAATTTTTATATGTTATGTATTTATTCTTTTTTTATTTGGGTAATATTACCCTTTAAACCAGGGATGGGCAAACTGTGGCCCTCTGGAAGATTTTATCCGGCCCGCGGATAGAATTTTTATTTGCCGATCAGTGGCAAATATAAACAATATACATCCATTTTCTTGTCGACTATGTTTAAAATTATTTCTGTTTTTCCTTTTTCAACAAAGTACTGATGAAGTTTTTGCTTTCTATAATTTTGTTCTACAAAACATAAATTGATGGAAATAGTTAGCTCAGACAGCTTCAATTGGTAAAATGTTGAAAGCAGAAGTTCTTTATAGAATAGCCGTAGATTGGCTCCAACTAGCGCTTGTCTCTCTCGAGGAGCTGACTTATGGAATCTAATATAGGTAAATTGCACTTCACATTTGGCAGACTGCGCATTTTACGCTCCAAAGAGCGGACAATCTAACAATCATCTGAAGCAGTCGTTTCTAAATACTATTCCAAAGTTTTACAAATCCTTTCCAAAAGCTAGTTTCCGAAATTTA